TAGACCTTATTCCACACATTTTAGATCTTATTCCACACATTTTAGATCTTATTCCACACATTTTAGATCTAATTGATCACGTTTTATTCATTGGCAGAAAACATTTTTTATTCGAAAATTTATTCGAAAATCCACATTTTTCGAAAAAAGTGGAAATTTTGATTTAGGTAAGTTAGATACCTTTAGATCAAATTCCAGTGCACCAAAGGTTTTTAATTTTTGACAATTGTTAACGATCACTAACTACCGTTAACGACGACCCTTCGTTAACGATCGTTAACGACGACCAATTTCTCAGATGTATTCTTTTTAAAAAATTTAAAACTTTACAAAATTAATACTAATTTATCATATTTCCCTTCAAAAAGAATCAAGGAGAGAAATCCTTTAAAAAACTATCAAAAAGATAAAAAAATGTGAGACAACATTCATTGTAAAAAATGTTTAAATCAAATTGTCAAAAATTCATACTCATCAATTTTTTTCAAACGATAGTTTTTCAAGAAAACGATTGTTTTATGATTTCGTTTCTCGTTTTTAAAAGTTGAACAGGAAATGTTTCTTTCCTTGTGACACATCCTTTTTCTAAAGACGAAATGATCGTTTTAAGAAAAAACGAAATACGATAGTTTTTTCGATAGTAAGACATATCAGGAAGTACATGAAATATTGTTTGCCATTAAAAAATCAGGCTTTAAATCATTTGAAAATTTTTTGCATTTTAGAATTTGCTAGGTCTGTATGATTTGTCATATTTTGCGCATATTACACATTTTTTTTCGAAATTAATACATTTCGCGAAAAAATGTTGGATACATTATTGCAGTTGATTCCTAGGGGGTTTCCTTAAATGTAGAATTATTATAAACTATTATATCACAATAATAAAAAAGGGTTGTTTTATATAAATACCTGAACAGTAAAAAAATTAATTTTTAAACCATTTTTCACATTTCCAGTGAAGTTGGTCTTCATTTTGATATATTGAGCAGATACTCAATAAATTGGAAAGTTTTTCATGGAAAAACTATAAATCATCAAATTACTAAACTGGGTCTGCATATTCTCAATTCAGTCAACTGTTTAAAAACGACTTATGATCAAAAATCTTTACTTTGCTTACTGTTTAAATCCAAATATTGCGCAAACCCTGCAAACTGGGCAAAATGTTTTAATCTATAAGAAAAGTAATAAAATTGAGTGGACCATGGTTCGAATTTGAGTAAATTGATAAATGTTATTTTAACTCATATCCTAATTTCATCATTGTTTTACATTAAAATAACTCAAAAAGGAGAACAAAGACATAAATATAATATAATATAATTTTCAATATTAAAAATATAAAACTTTAACAAAAAAAATGTTTGACCACTTTTTTGTGAAAACATAGATATTGTTGCAAAGAAGCGCTGAAGAGGTTTACCCGGCTCTCTCTAAACTGTGCTCTCAATTATCGAGGGTTAATTATATCCTCAGTCTATTCCACTCATACAACCAGTAACCACCTAGCTTTTCAAGCTCAGGATCTTACTCATCTCATATAATCAGTAACCACCTAGCTATAATCAGTAACCACCTAGCTTTTCAAGCTCAGGAGCTAACTCATCTCAAATAATCAGTAACCACCTAGCTTTTCAAGCTCAGGAGCTTACTCATCTCATACAACCAGTAACCACCTAGCTTTTCAAGCTCAGGAGCTTACTCAGCTTATATAACCAGTAACCACCTAGCTTTTCAAGCTCAGCAGCTTACTCATCTCATACAATCAGTAACCACCTAGCTTTTCAAGCTCAGGAGCTAACTCATCTCATATAATCAGTAACCACCTAGCTTTTCAAGCTCAGGAGCTTACTCAGCTTATATAACCAGTAACCACCTAGCTTTTCAAGCTCAGGAGCTTACTCATCTCATACAATCAGTAACCACCTAGCTTTTCAAGCTCAGGAGCTTAAACACTTCTCATACAATCAGTAACCACCTGTAGATATATTAGGTTTCAAGGTTTCTGTATAGATACATTAGGTTTCAAGTATAGATTATGCTTCAAGGTTTCTGTAGATACATTAGGTTTCAAGGTTTCTGTATAGATACATTAGGTTTCAAGGATACATTAAGTTTCAAGTAACATTATGCTTCAAGATTTTTGTAGATACATTAGGTTTCAAGGTGTCTGTAGATAGACTAGGCTTCATGATACATTAGGTTTCAAGGTTTCTGTAGATATACTGTGCTTCAAGGTTTCTGTAGATACATTAGGTTTTATAAGTTTTCTGTAGATATATTAGGTTTCAAGGATAAATTACGTTTAGAGGGTACCAAAGTGAATCGGGGATGTCCATCTTTAACTGGAAAGTTACTTGAAGCAACGTTCACAGTCCCTTTAATGAGAAAGGAATGAATTTATTCTGTTGATGAAAAAAATCTGAACGGTTGGAAAAAAAATGAAAAAAACTTTTTTTTAATTAAAGGAATACAAAATGAAATGCTTTTTTTATTCTTTTCTATTTGAACAAAATATTCTTTTCAAATTTTTGTTTATTTTATTAATTATGATTAAAAAGAAAAAAACCTTTATTCAAAAATTTAAATTTACAGATTTACTCATCTCATACAACCAGTAACCACCTAGCTTTTCAAGCTCAGGAGCTAACTCATCCCATACAATCAGTAACCACCTAGCTTTTCAAGCTCAGGAGCTTACTCATCTCATACAATCAGTAACCACCTAGCTTTTCAAGCCCAGCAGCTAACTCATCTCATACAATCAGTAACCACCTAGCTTTTTTTAATAAATGTCTAAAAGACTGAATGAAGAAAGGGACAGAGCCTGGGTAGTCACCTGGCCCCCCCACCCCCTCCCCTCCCCAACCTGTAGTAGTATGTAGGTTTTTACATAACTACAAAAGTATCAGAATGGGGCTGTTCAAAGTGCATAACTACATTATTTTATTCAATTCCAACTTTGCTTGTTAGATTTTAATGATTTTTGATTTTTGGAAAGCCATTGTCAACAGAATTCAGATTGTCTATGATGGATTGAAGAGAAAGTGTGCTGACTTTATGGAAAAACAATCCTGCATTTGAAATGTAAAGTGAGCATTTTTGGATTTTTTTTTTGACAAAAAATTTATTAGCTTTATTTAGAAAATGCACTATTAAAAATGGTTTGCAATAAATTTGTTGAAAAAAATATTATACTCATTTTTTTTCAATACTGTTTTGAGATAACATATTTAGCTTATTTTTGAATTTTTCTTGTTTTGCATCAATAAAATTTATCTTCTTTTTGACCACTTTTTCAAAAATGTTATATTAGGGCTTGTTATATACACATAATCAATCCCCCCCCCCTCTTAAAAATCCATGCCTAGTGTATTCTGTAGTTACCTATCTATATTCTAGTTTAATTCTGAATAACAGGACGGGTATACACAGGTTTAGTGTATTATGAAGCTACCTGTATATATTCTAGTTTGATATTGAATAACAGGATGGATGTAAACAGGTTTAGTGTATTGTGAAGCTACCTGTATATATTCTAGTTGATATTAAATAACAGGATGGGTGTAAACATGTTTAGTGTATTATGAAGCTACCTGTATATATTCTAGTTTGATATTGAATAACAGGATGGGTGTAAACATGTTTAGTGTATTATGAAGCTACCTGTATATATTCTAGTTTGATATTGAATAACAGGATGGGTGTAAACATGTTTAGTGTATTGTGAAGCTACCTGTATATATTCTAGTATGATATTGAATAACAGGATGGATGTAAACAGGTTTACTGTATTATGAAGCTACTTGTATATATTCTAGTTTAATATTTAATAACAGGATGGGTATACACAGGTTTAGTGTATTATGAAGCTACCTGTATATATTCTAGTTTGATATTGAATAACAGGATGGGTGTAAACATGATAGCCCAAGGATTATTTTCTTATCAAACTTCCATTTCAGTTTGCACAAGTGCTCATAAATTGTCTGTCTAAAATCATACTGTGAGTTAAAATGTATTAAAAGCAAATAATTTTATTTTTCCAAGCTTTTGATGAAAATGAAATTGACGGAAAGATGTAAATTATATTCATTCCAAGCATAACGTTAAAATGTTTGTGCTTTTTGCTAGCAAACAAAATAAAATTACCAATTTAGCAAGAAAATTGTGTTTAATTATGTCATCTATATACAGAGTTTCACACAAAGGATGGGACTGTAAAGACGACCTAGCTTATTTTTGACAGAAGTTAATAGTTAAGGGAATCATGAATATAAGGAAACAGACAGTGCCGTCGTGTCTGAAGTTTTATCCTTTGTGGGTAACCCTGTAGAATATGGTACATACAGTTATTGACACAAATCGAGGCATTAGAGATCAGGTTCTAAGGCTCTTCTTAACACAGACACAAATTTGCAAATAAACCAATAAACTGATTTATTTCAAACCTACAAATAAAGTAAATACTGTTTTAGTCAAATCAATATTGGTATAAAATAGTTTTTAATGTTTCAGTGGGTAACTTACTAGTTGTTTTTGTCTGGGTAATTAAGGATTGATTTGAGATCAAAGGATGTGATCCGATCAATCTAAATATTTGGATGTTAATTCTGAAAATATAACCCCGGTTGTTTAAGCAGAATTATTCGCGGACTTAAGTATTCACTAGTTAAAATTATTACTATTCAATGATGTCCTTTGACAGAGTACAGAGGTAGTGCCGGAGTATATTCTTTGGTTTGGACTCCTCCAAGATAAGGGGAAGGGTAGTAAAGTCGAGATATTATGCGGGATAAAAGTGGAAAGTAGATTTATGTGCAACAACAGTGAATACAAAAACTGGAAATAATGTCGTCTTTGTTCATTCTTTTAATTAAAATATTGTCAAGACGTTTTTAAATCAAAAAAACTGTATTATTTTCTTTCTAGCTTTTTTTGTTTTCGGTTTATAAAAGCTACAAAATATATATTTTTTTTTCATAAATTTCAGATTATTCAAAATGGAGCCTCCCCAGAAAAGAATTTACAAGCTTGCTGTCATGGGTAAGCTCTCGGTAGTTATTAAAAAATATAAAAACAATATTAAAGAAAGTTTGCAATTGTTGAAACTGATTTTCATGAAAATGTTCAGAAATCAGAACTTGTGTTGTGAATCTTCGGATATAGATAAGTTTCCTATTGGATACCGATATCATACTGAACTTTTGTGCTGTAAATCAGAATCGATCATTGAAAACCTAAACATTAATCTAATCCCTTTTCAATATCACGTATTGGTCATCCCTGCAGTCTGCACCGGGATTACTTTAATTCATTGGTCATTGGATTACTTTAATTCAGGGATTAAGCATTGATCCTCAAGTTTAAAAGAAACTTTAAAATTATTTTCGCTGCCAATTATAAAATACTCAGTGACATTTTATAATTAAAATAAAAAATAAGATGACGAGAATTCCACTGTTTCCTGGTTCTCACTATATAGAGATGAAGACGGATGGAATATATTAAGAAACAGAATCAAACTAAATTTGAAATAAAAAAAATGTTTTGTTAACGTCAAATTAATTCGTCATTAAATAATTGATTATCAATAATATATTATTGCATAAATCAAATTAGGTTTGTTGTAATGTAATCTCATCTAGTAACGTAAATTTAAAAGGACTGAGAACATAATATACCAATTACTCTTCATTCCAAAAGTCTGATTCACTTGTAGTACCCTTTAAAAGTCCGATTTACCTATAGTAACCAATAAAAGTCCGATTTACCTATAGTACCCTTTAAAAGTCCGATTTACCTATAGTACCCAATAAAAGTCTGATTCACCTATAGTACCCAATAAAAGTCCGATTTACCTATAGTACCCTTTAAAAGTCCGATTTACCTATAGTACCCAATAAAAGTCCGATTTAACTATAGTACCCAATAAAAGTCCGATTTACCTATAGTACCCAATAAAAGTCCGATTTNCCCCCCCCCTCTAAATCCCATGTTTGATGTCCAAATATGACAAATGATACACCATTGGAAAGCTCTTGTGCTCTTCTTTTAGAATCTGCAAAAAATTTGCAAATATGCAAAAATTGAATTTTTTATCGCAAAATCCAGTTATATATTAAAAATGTTTACAAGAAAAAAATTGTCCAACAAATGAAAAATTATACATTTTTGAAAAGCCCTTGACAATGCAATATGCAAAAATTTTTGCAAAATTTTAGATAACCTGAATTTTAATCAAGAAAAACTAAAAATGTGCAAATTTTCTTTGACAGGTTGTTTGCAAAAAAATTGCAATTTATTTTCGCCAAACTTGTGAAATTCGTTTCCTTATGTCAAAGGCTTTCCAAAAAGTTAAATTTCATCAAAATCTGACAAGTGAAAGTGGGTCAAAACAAAGATTTAGTTTGTTACAGGAAAAAGCAGTCATTCAGGTAGTATGCCTGAGGACTTAGGCAGTTAGTATTAAAGCCCGGTTTTAGGTCTAAAGAGAGGGCTTTGGGTATTTAGGAAAAAATAGAAAATTTCAGCAGCCTCAGACCAATACTTTTTGAGTAAAAAAAAACTACAGGGGGTGGGGGTCAAATTGACCCCCCCCCCCAGCAGGAATAGGGTTAAAAGTCTGATTCACATATAGTACCCTTTAATAGTCCGATTCACCTATAAGTACCCTTTAAAAGTCCGATTCACCATAGTACCCTTTAAAAGTTTGATTCGCCTATAGTTCCCTTTAAAAGTCAGATTCACCTATAGTACCCTTTAAAAGTCTGATTCACCTATAGTACCCTTTAAAAGTCTGATTAACCTAAAGTACCCTTTAAAAGTCTGATTCATGCAATAGTACCCTTTAAAAGTCTGATTCACCTATAGAACCCTTTAAAATTCTGATTCACCTGTAGTACCCTTTAAATGTTTGATTCACCTATAGTACCCTTTAAAAGTCAGATTCACCTGTAGTACCCTTTAAAAGTCAGATTCACCTGTAGTACCCTTTAAAAGTCAGATTCACCTGTAGTACCCTTTAAAAGTCAGATTCACCCTTTAAAAGTCAGATTCACCTGTAGTACCCTTTAAAAGTCAGATTCACCTGTAGTACCCTTTAAAAGTATGATTCTCCTACAGAACACTTTAATAGTCATTGTTTGAACAATTCTTGATTTTCCGCATAATAATCTTATTGATTGTAATTGTTGTTTCTTTTTCAAAGAGACAAGAAAATAAGGTAAGTTCGCGAAATTTAAAGTGGCAATCTATAAATTTATCTCATATATCTCTGTACAAAGGTTATAAGGGTACCGTTCAAATTCGTGCGTGCCCTCTTTGAAATTACGCTTACAGTCCTTTAATAATGAAACTTGGGAAACCTGTAATCCAATTATAAAGAGTCTCCTTCAGTTCTTTGAATTTTATTTTTGTTTATTCAATTAGAGACTGTATATAACCAATAAATAAGAAGAAAAAAAAAAATTTAATAGATAATTGGTCTCGGTGTTTTACTTAATCAATGAAGTGTGGGGGTGGGGTCATAGGAAAGGTAAGATGAGGGGGGGGGGGTCAGAGGAAAGGTGGATGAGGAGGGTGGGGCACAGTGGGGTATTATAGGGGGGTCATTTCCAATATTTTTTGAAGTCTCTAAATTGTTTAAATGTTATTTCATTGAAAACCCTTAAAGTAGGATTTTTCAATACGCTACTCTGACTACTCTGCGGCTGGAGACCTTACATCTGATTTGCATGCAGGATGTCAGAATCTATTTACATATTTAGATTATTTCGAAACCCCTTTGTTTTTTTGTGCTTTTACTATAAAATATGTTTTTCTTCCAAAATAATCGCTGTAACAAAGACGACATCTAAATATATTGCGGGATTACAAATCCATTCTTAAGAAATTTATGAACGGGAAAAGTAACTATAAATTGAAATCATTATAAATCAATGCATGCTACAATTAACACAATGTTTGTAAATGAAAAGATTATCAGAATATAAGTTTGTCCATTCTCACCATGAAACACAAGAAAAATGCATTTAAAGAAGAGTATTGTGACAGTCACCCCCTCATGACCCCATTAAATGCCCCACAGTGCGGGGTCAGAGGAAAGGTGGGTGAGGGGGGAGGGGTTGATTTCCAGAGATTGATGATAAAAATAAATCCATGTATGCATGTTAAATATAGAAATTAATTCTGTATAAAGTGGTGATATGTCCGTTTATCTGTTTGTCATTGTGTTCGATTATTACCCATAAAACCCCTTGGTTGATTTGATTGGTCAACTCGGTAAAACCACGGGAATGTTATTAGCTTGGTTAAATCGTTATAGGTTGTCTTGTTTAGGGAAAACTATAAATTCAATTCAAAGTAGGGTTTCCAAGCTGACTGGTTACTGAAGTAATTTAATTTTATAATCAAACTGCCATTGTTCAGTCGATACATGTATTTCTTGAGGGTTAACGGAAAGGTCAATGTAATTTTAAGCGACCACACAATAAAGGAGGTGCATTCCTGATTCACAACGGAACCCTTAATTACATCTTCATTCGAGGAAAAATAAGACAGATATCGTAGTTTCCTTTTTTTAAAGGTGTAGCAATATTTAATATGTACGTTAGATTATGTTTTATTGAAAAAATCTCTGTATAATAAACGATCGAAATGAAGATCAATACAAAATCGATATATATATATATAAAGAAACTGATATTTTGAAGCAATTAAGTGCTTAATCCGTGGAAAAGTCTCGTATTTTCTGGACGGATGTAATGTATTTAGAAGAAGTAAAAATTAATCCAACGAATCAGATGGTAAATTATCCATGAAGGGATAAGTAATTTCCCTTCAATAATATTATACATGAAGGGATTTATAATCCTTCAATGATATTATCCATGAAGGGATTAATAATCCTTCAATGATATTATACATGAAGGGATTAATAATCCTTCAATGATATTATACATGAAGGGATTAATAATTCTTCAATGATATTATCCATGAAGGTATTAATAATCCCCCTTAAATAATATTGTCCATGAAGGGATTAATAATCCCCCTTAAATAATATTGTCCATGAAGGGATTAATAATCCCCCCTTCAATAATATTGTCCATGAAGGTATTAATAATCCCCCCTTCAATGACATTATACATGAAGGGATTAATAATTCCCCTTCAATTATATTGTCCATGAAGGTATTAATAATCCCCCCTTCAATAATATTTTCCATGAAGGGATTAATAATCCTTCAATGATATTATCCATGAAGGGATTAATAATCCTTCAATGATATTGTCCATGAAGGGATTAATAATCCCCCCTTCAATAATATTATCCATGAAGGGATTAATAATCCTTCAATGATATTGTCCATGAAGGGATTAATAATCCCCCCTTCAATAATATTGTCCATGAAGGGATTAATAATCCTTCAATGATATTATCCATGAAGGGATTAATAATCCTTCAATGATATTGTCAATGAAGGTATTAATAATCCCCCCTTCAATGATATTATCCCATGGAGGGACTAATAATTCCCCTTCAAAAATATTATCCATAAAGGGATTATATCCCTCCTTCAATGATATTATCCATGAAGGGATTAATAATCCTTCAATGATATTATCCATGAAGGTATTAATAATCCCCCCTTCAATGATATTATCCCATGGAGGGACTAATAATTCCCCTTCAAAAATATTATCCATAAAGGGATTATATCCCTCCTTCAATTATATTGTCCATGGAGGGATTAATAAACCACCTGTATTATATAGGGTGTCCCAACAAACTGATATTCAATGCATGGGAAAGAAAGTATAAAAACGAGGCTGTACGTCTGACAAGCTTTTTATAAAGTGGTCTACCTTTCTTGTATCTTAAAAATTGACGAAGATATAAGATATAAAGACAATTTTGATTTATTAAATAAATTGAAATTTGTACAAATTTTGCAATCCGTCAATTTTTAAGATACAAAAATGGTAGACCTCTGGCTGGCAGACCCCTAGAGATGATAGATCTAATTTTGAAAATCTCAAGACCAGGCGTTTTCGATATTTAGATGTGTAAACTGGAATACTGTAATTATTGTGTTCATGAAAAAATGCCACATGGATCGAAGACGATGTGAAAGTCGTCACTTAATTCCCATGTTAATTAAAACACCCTGTACGTTTACAGGAGGAGGAGGAGTTGGAAAATCCTGTTTAACCACCAGAATGCTTCACAATAAATATATGGTAACTATAATTTAGGATAAATTAAAGGGAGTGCTCACTAATTACTAAAATGAGGTATGAAATAAACCAAAAAAAACCTACTGATTACAACCCAGTTTTATTTCCGAAAAGAAAATGCTGTAGTTAAACAAACATTTTTCCGGCCTCAGCTATCTATATAATAAAGCTATTCTCTCATGTATTTTTTTAAGCGGTTCTAAATGTAATGGGCAACGCCGGGAACTTATTTTATATGCTTTATGTTATTGTTCAGATATGAAAGCAATTTGTATTGATTAAATAATTGAAATAGAGTTTATCCTAAAACCATATTTAATATTTTATGCACATCCCTTTTCTCAGTGACACATTATCATTATTAAGCTATGCAACTTCTCATAAAGAAAGTATTTATGTATATTTAATTACTGTTTTGAGACCATATTTTATGAATTGCGAGAAGTCGTTGAACTATGTTGAAGAGACAATTCAATTACTGTATTTAAATTTAACTTTAATTCGGTGATTCAAGTTGAATTAGTTAAACCGGCTGGCACTAAGCAGTTCAGCAATCTTTTTTCAATTCATAAAATTCCGTCCCAGACTATTCCATAGAATTGAACTGTCAGCGTTTATACAGATCAGTTCACAGTCACAGTCTCAACATGTACTATTCTATATTTCTTGAATATTTTGTTTTAGCAAGTTCTGTTCAGTTTGTTGGGATAAAACCTGAAGCAAAATATCCCCAAAATGTAGCAAAATAATAGTTTCCTATATAATTATAAAATATTATTTTAAGTGCATATTTTATTTTATTTATTTATTTATTTTATTTGACGGAGAGATTGGAAAAGTATGAATGCAGTGTTTTCAGAGATTGATGGGTTTAAGTTGCTAAAACAGTAGTTGAACGTGTCGTGTCTAGTTTAGTTACCTTTCTCTCATTCATAAATGATATCTACGAGAAAATACAGTAAGACCTATAATAATGTAGAATTGAAAGACGAATGTTAGACATTGTGTGCACTTTGCAGTTTACACGGACCCATACTACAGTTTAAACTAAAACTTAGGAGACATCGGCAGAAGTTATAAAATGTCGTTTTCTACAGCTACTGATAATGGAATGCTGCAGATATTCTGTTTTTTAATTGAATAATTACATGGAGCTCTTCAACACTGTTGCCGCATATTTCATGGCTATTTATTTATTTTTTTTCAATTACTATGATTTAGATGTGATTAATCATATAAGAGTATAAACCCCATTAAAAAATTGTCAAGATAACATTTCATAAATTCTGTCCAAGCCTCCGAAGTTCTGGGCTAAACTGTTCTTGATGAGTTGACCTTCAAGCTACTGGTGAAGCTATTTGCTCTTTTTAAATGTCGTCGTCCTATTTAACAGTTTTATGGGTCTGACTGTACTAGCATGAGTTTAGGAGACGTATGATCCAACTATAGAGGATTTCTACTATAAAGAGAACTTTATGGTTGATGGTGAACCTACAAATATGGAAATACTGGATACAGCTGGACAAGTAAGATATCCAATTCATCCTGAAAATTTAAGAAATTTTTTTTTACCTTTAAAACATTAATGATGTAACTTTAAGTGGCCTTCCGGTATTTGATTAATGAATGTTGAAGGATTCGATGATTACGTAATAACTGAAATGATAAATATGTTATGTAGTGAGTAAAAATCAATGTTTTCTATTTGTGCATAATTTTGCATATTTTTTCTCTTTTCTTCTGGAAACCTGTATTTTCAAAAAAAAATTTATTTAAACAAATTTTAACTACACCATTTATATATGTATATAAATCTTTGTGTGTGAATAAATCTTTATAATAATAATAATTTACACCAGCATCCTACACATGCTTTGTTTCTGCAAAATAGTTTTCTATCCGGGTAAAGATTAATTCCATCTGCACCTTCGACTATTAAACTAAACCTATCGGAATCAAGCAGCAGAGACACCGAAGAAAATTGTCAGAAGTTTCCAAAATTGAATTACAATTATAACTTTATTTTTGTAACTCAGAAAACGCCATTATCTGTAAATAAATACAGAGTAATGCTTTAAATTTAGTCAACGATTCCTTTAAGGATAATGTGATCGGGACCCGGGATCAGTATTATAAGAATGCCGAGGGATTCCTCTTCGTGTACTCTGTATCAGACAGGTAGAACCAAGGAATATATACCAGGCATTGTAGCTTTGTGTACTCTGTATCAGACAGGTAAAACCAAGGAATATATACCAGGCATTGTAGCTTTGTGTACTCTGTATCAGACAGGTAAAACCAAGGAATATATACCAGGCATTGTAGCTTTGAGTACTCTGTATCAGACAGGTAGAACCAAGGAATATATACCAGGAAAAGACAGGGAGAACCAAGGAATATATATACCAGGAAAAGACAGGTAGAACCAAGGAATATATACCATGAAAAGACAGGTAAAACCAAGAAATATATATACCAGGAAAAGACAGGTAGAACCAAGGAATATATAACAGGAACTAAAAATATAGCTCCGTGTACTCTGTATGTGAAAGGTAGAACCAAGGAATATATAACGGGAACTAACAATATAGCTCCGTGTATTCTATATCAGACGGTTAGAACCAAGGAATATATACCAGGAATTACCATAGCTCTGTGTACTATGTATCAGACATGTAGAACCAANATCGTTTTTCTGAAAATGATCGTTTTCAAAAACGATTGTTCTTCGTTTTCTAACAGTTCAAAACGAGTGGGTTGTTTTAAAAACGATCGTTTTTTTGAGAAAACGAAACGATCGTTTTTAAAAATGATCGTTTAACGAAGCAAAAAACGATCGTTAAACGATCGTTTTCAAAAACGATTACCAACCCTACCAGGAACTAACATAGCTTTGTGTACTCTGCAGGCACATATATATATATAATTGGGTATATATAAAAATTGTACTGCAAATTTATTTTGTAAAGAAAAATTTGGGGATCCCTGATTTGTACTTCTTATATAAGACACATGTTATATACTTAATCTTAATAATTGATTAAAACAGTTTGGTCCTGTCTATCAAAACTAATCAAACATAAATATTATTCTTATTCTTCTTTTTACTATTTTGTCGGTGGATGCGTTTTAAAGGAAAATGTATAAAAAGACAACTCTAGTTAAAAATTGTTAAATTACAGACCATAAACGAGTTTGAATTCGAATTGAAGAAACCGAGCGCATCTCGCCCTGGTTCGTCCTGGGTGAAAGAGATATAATATGAATTTATTATGCTGGTAAATGAAAAATAGTTAAAATAAAAAGTACTTTTTTAACAAGGATGAATGCTTATCAAGAGATGATGAAAATTTATTTTCAGAATTGTAATAATTAAACTACTCTAATTTTACTGTAAGTAATTAGAAATAAAAAATTAAAAGATTAATCTCTAAAATCTGATTAACTAAAAACAATCATTCTCTGACCCATGCTGTCTCATTAACCTTAAATAAGCTGGAAGGTTGGGAGGGCGTTTGGTGCCCCCACCCCTTTGATTTTCTTTGCCCTTTTTTGTCATTTAAAACCTTAAAGTTTGCGGTCTAATTTTTTTGTTTGGTAAGCGGACCTCAATAAATGTGGCTTTAAACATGAGAAACTTCATATCTTTAATCTAGAGCCCTTTTCACTAGTTTATACATAGATTCAGACCTTCTAGCCTTTATTATGTTTATTACTCTCTTTCGACAAACGCTGTGTTTTTTAAGAACTTTTGTATCAGATTTTTTCTTCTACAGTCGTTGTCGTATATATCAATAAAATGAAGACGACTTTGTAGTTTAATTTTGATTTTTTACCAAGCTTTCAAACAGCAGAAACAATTAAACATTTTAACAAAGAGAAGTTGTCAATTATCTCTTTGTTTTTTTATATAGGGATCAAAGTAATATTAATAAAAATAATAAAAGTCGTTTTCATTGCATTGCGATAATCGCCGACCCACTGTATATTGCCAATGTGTTTGTAAGACATCTTTATAAATGTATATATTTGATTCTATTAGATCTGTAAACTAGGTTGTTTCCACCTTATTAACTATGTCTAATTAGACCTTCTTTAGAAATATTTTGTTATATTCTTAAATGTCTTCCTTATCCATTTAAAATGGAAAAATCAGCATCGTCAAACTCCATTTCCACTCCTTTTCTACTGTTAATTTTCAATCAAATATAGTTTTTCTATTTATTTGATTTTCAATCTAATAAAGCTTGCATATTATTTTTAAGTTTAAGTATGAAGGATGTAGAGGATAGAATACAAGGAATGAAAACAGCCAGGGTGAGTAGACATTTACAAATTTTAATTCATTAGGTGTAATTGATGTCGGTATCAAATAAATCTGTTCAGGCCCATTGCTTCCATGAAGAAAGGGTTGAACAATCTTAATTGTTTTTTGACTATTTTTATCCGTTCTTGTATAAACATTTTCTATGATTTTCAGGTTAAAGAGAGTGCTCCCGAAAAATGAAAGTTGGTATAGGCTTACGACGAAAAATGTTCGATGCTGATCGCTGCTAATTTTACTTTTATCTGTTGCATCTATTAGGAGAAAATTGTTAAAAACAAATCATACCAAAGAACGTACCGTCCATACAAATTCATAAGCTGCAATATTAGACTCGGATCATAAAAAAATAAATTTATTTCCAAAACATCATTTAGATATCGCAATCTATAATAATAGATTATTTTTCGACGCATCAGTAAAAAGTTGATATTTCATAAAAAAAAAAATTTTTATCAATATTTTGTCTTTACGGCTGGCGCTGGATTTTCGAGCATTTCCAGAAAATATGAAAATGTTGTTTTCATTATCAAAAATCCTCGAAACAGGAATGAATGTGTTCAAAAGTAACATATCTCCCCCTAACCCTTCAGTCTCCCCCTAACCCTGCTAGCAACAACACATCTCTGTGACTCTCTCTATCCTAGCCTGATTCCAGCTGACCCAGCTAGCTGTTGCTATGGCGGGGAGTTTAAAACATAAACAATGAGAATTACACATAAACTCTTGGAGTTGTATAGGGAAGGAGTGGATCTAGTACTGGATATCAAGCTTAACCTGTGGACTAAAGATGGAGAAGAATTTTTCTCATTTTCTAGAGTTTCTCGACCCGTCAACAGGAGAAGGAGAAGAAACAGAGGTAAACATTGCAAACCCAGTTTTTACTTTCTGTGAAGAAAAAGATTGTACAGTTTGCCCAGTTAGACACAACGCAATTAGAGCATATGAAAAAGTAGACAACCAAATTAAATATCAGTTGGTTAATAACTACAGGAAGTTCTGTTGTTTCTCAGCAATGGATGACGAGGGAGTCAGCTGCAAAAAATTTTACTGGCATTTAAAGTCTAATATGTGTCTATCATATGAATCATTTATATAGAAAATAAATAATGTAGTTTTTCCATTTATGAAAGTTGTAATTGTAATATCTTAATCTCTGCTCAAAATAAATATTTAGATCTAAAAAAAATAAAAAAATAAAAAAATATTATGAAATTTCAACTTTATACGAATGCATCAAAACATAATCCATGATTATAGTTTGTGATAACTGAATGATTTGTTTGGATTTAAATTGATTTGTTTCCAATCCTAGTCTAATATTGTAACTTTCTGAATTTGTATGGATGCTACGTTCTTAATTATAAGTCGTTTTTAACAATTTTCTCCTTATAGACGCAACAGATAGAAGTAAGATAAATAGCAATATAGAATATAGAATATTTTTCGACGTAAGCCTATACCCCCTTTCATTTTTTGTGAACACTCCCTTTAAAAGATATAAATATGTTACGTGTCCAATTTTAATCGATCTTCAATTTGTAAATTTGTAAATATTTTAATGTGAACCTAACCAAGGGTTCTAAATGTGTATTGTGTATATAGTATCGCACAGTTCATTGCTCCCAAGCAGAGAAATAAAGCCAAACTAATGCAATCCAAGAATAAAGCCAAACAATCCAGACCTAATTCAAAAAGGATATTGAACCCCAGTATGTTTGTAGCCTTAGTATGTATAACGTGGTTGGACCCTCTAGGCTATTGAACCCTTTCTTATCTGGTAGATATCAAGTTGATATGGTTTAAACGGTGGAGCTAGGGGAGGATCGATGTTGGAGAAAGGAGTGAAACGGCATTTATCTAGCCGGGGAAGAAAGCAGTGTCATTGACCATGTTATGCCCCAAATCCTGGGCAGTTCTAACAAATTATCTGATCAGAAGGTTCAAATGAAAATATTTGCCTCAGGCGAATGTTGCATTGATTTAAATCAACTTTAGTTGGTCCAACACTTATCATTTGTATTGTTATAATGTAAATTTAGCTTGTGTGCAACCATGCTTTGATATTCCACTCAATCTTGGCTTTTTATTACTGAATTAATTTCAAGTCTATATGGTGACATACCCATATTTTCGAGTACACCCTCGAAAGTTCATTCAAGCCAGATTGTTTTGTTTAACATAGAATCTAGACATCTGTGTGTATCGATTCAACACTAATCAGTAAACAAAGACAACTAACGAGTACACTGCCAGGAAAACAACAGCGGTATTTGGGTTTTAATAAAATAAAAAGTTCAACAGAGCCTGTCCACCCTGGAAGCATGGAGGCAACAGAGGCTGAGTATCTGGCCTGGTTACTGCTCTAGCAAGTGTAACAAGCCCTGGTTAACCCTAATGATTTAATTGTAGCAGAGTCAAAAAAGTTGGAAGCAGCCCTGACCTCGGAGAAGTACAGATCACAAAAAAAGTTTAAGAAGACTGATTTCACAGAACCAGGCAGAAACCCAAATCCTAGAAGCACAGCAAACTCAAGAATTGCGGTAGACTGGATTGACTCCACCATTGAAGTCAAGGAATCATTTGTCAAGTTCCTGTTTAGTAAAATTGTTGGAGTGATGAACTCAAAATAGACGGCTTAGTCTATGGTTAAATTAGAGCAGTCTGCTGTGCGTAATGGAATTTGTGAATCAAAGAAATTGAGGTTCAAAATCCTCACGAGTACATTGCTCATGTTAGCAAACTCAGACTCACAAAGAAAATGGGAGAACGAGATCTGCATCAAATTTTTCTATTACCAAGACTACCTAAAGAAGCTGTGATGCAGTTAGAGGACAAGCTATCAGGTATCAATTTACCATGTAAAGTAAATAAAAGTTTGGTTGACAAATTCTATGAAGACATCAACCATGATCAGACCAGGATCAGAGGAGCAACAGAAGTTCGCCAGAGCAAGACTTCAACCGCCATTTTGATCTGGATGAGATTGGAGAAGGAGAACTAACCCAGATGTTACAAGATGAGAGGATTTTAGAGGATCAAGGGACCTCTGCAGCCTCACAAGAAATAAAACAGAGAATTTAACCCGAGACACAAAAAGAATCAAGATCAGAACTTGGGATTACAGAAAAAAACATATTCAACAGCAACAGGTTCATCAAGTTCAGGAAGTAGAAGATCTGGAAGATTAACCAAGACAGTAGAAAAATGTGTTCTCTCTACAGGACTGAGGACACCGAAGACCAATTGACTCGTCCAGGAGTGCCTTCAGTGCCCAAAACATTGATGAAATCAGTTTCCTCAATTGTGGGAACCATGAAATCACTATTCAGTGAAGCATGGAAGAAAACTCTTTAACCCGTAGGTCCCCCAAGAACGAAGAAAAGGAGTACATCAAAGGAGAGCAAAGCATCAACCATGATTAGAGTATCATCTCTGGAAAAGATAAAACAGACAGGGAGTATCACAATTGATAAGTCAGTTGTTGATAATAAGTCAGGATACACAGTAGAAAGTAGGTCAGGAAGAAGGCCAAGAAGTAGACCAGGAAGTAGGACAGGAAGTATAAACAGATGGGAGAGTAGTTTATGGACTGAAAAGGAAGACGACAATGGAAAGGAGTGAAACGGTATTTATCTAGCCAGGAAGGAATGCAGTATCATCTAGGGCTGGGCATGTTCCGACTTTTTTGAAATTGTTCCATTCCGTTCTTGAACAAGGGCCTTCACATAGATCCTTCCATTTTCATTCCTTTTTTCAATTGTTCCGTTTTCATTCCGTACTGTCCCGTTCCGTTCCATTCTGGGTAGAATAATGGTCATTCTGGTCTGTTCCATTCTTGACGTTCTTAGTCAAAGAATGGTTCCATCCCCCCGTTTTGTTCTTAGTCAAGAACGTTTCCATCCCCCATTCTGTTCTTACTAAAGAACGATTCCATCCAAGACAAAAAAATTTTAGATAAAGAGTTAAAAAGTAAAAAAATTACGAGTTTATAATAAAATATACTTTAAATTATATATTCTAAATTTAGGGTTAAAAGAATAAGCTTAGATAATTTCTGGGCCGAGAAATGTATAATTTAGTGAGAGCGGGGGGAGGGGTGGGAGTCCTAAAATCCTTAATATGTAAAACTAGCTGAAGGGCCTGGCGTTGCCCATGAAAAAAAATTTCGATTTTTTTAGCCTAAAACACCCATGAGTGTCCAAAAAAAATTTCAGCCCAATCGGTCCAGCCATATGGCCGGCTATATGCAACATATATAAATAGGAATGTCTTGTTTTATTATATAGATATACAGAAGTTAAAGTGAAACCAACATTTTTAAGAATGCCTTCTATGAATCTGTTCTTTTTTCGGAATGACTGGAGCATTCTTAATCGTTCCATTTGTTCTTGTGAAAGAATGATTGTTCCTCAGGAACAACGCCCAGCCCTAGTATCATCGGCCATATCATCCCCAAATCCCCCAAGACCTCAGCAGTTAGCACAAAGTATCTGATCAGAAGAGTCACATATAAATATATTTGCCTCAGGTTATATAAACTTTACTTGATCCAACACTAATCGTTTGTATCGTTATTATGTAAATATAGTTTTGTGCAATGATGCTTCGTTATTCCACTCAATCTTGGCTTTTTACTATTGAAACGTAATAATTTAAAATGTTGCTTATAATAATTTCAAAGCATCATCATGTCAAACAAAAGCAAATTTAGGGGGAGAAGGAGGGGGGACAAGAGAGGTTTACATCAAAAACTAAAAAACTTAAGAAGGAAAGGAAAATGTGTCTTTGCCACAAAAGAAAATTTCTAATTGCTCTATATCTTTGCAATCTAATTATGTAAACCCGTGATATTTCATAAATAGATTATTTGATCTATCAGAATTCTTATTTTGAAATATCTAAGGTCCAAAACATTCCTTAGAACAAAAATTGTTAAGAAAAGAACCATTTTAGGTTTTCATTTTTAACTGTAAATATATATAAGTGAAATTATTACATATTATCATTTATATTCTATACCTTTTTTATCTTATACTAGTTACTCCAGCAGTTTACCCGCATTTGAACGATTTTACCGGGAAACTAAATTTTCGCTATTAAAGCCGACCCACTCAAATTAAACTCTTAAACCCAAGCTAAAAACATATTCTCGTGGGTCTCTTGAATTCCCCAATAATAATTTGAGGCAAATATTGGTCCAGAGGTTTTTGAGTTATGATCGGACAAACAAACAAACAGACACCCAAACAGAGATTAAACCTTTAAATATAAAGAAGATATTCTATTTAGGGTATACCAGACAATACTGAGTTACCACCAACAATAATAATTGGAAATAAATGTGATCTCCCAACTGCTGACGATCAATCCAAAGGTAAACGATCTCCCAACTGCAGAAGATCAATCCAAAGGTAAATGATCTCCCAACTACTGATAATCAATCCAAAGGTAAATGATCTCCCAACTAATGAGGTCAATCCAGAGGTAAATGATCTCCCAACTGCAGGCGATTTACCCAATTATAAATGATCTCCCAATGCTGACGATCAATCCAAAGGTACATGATCTCCCAACTGCTGAAGATCAATCCAAAGGTAAACGATCTCCCAACTAATGAGATCAATCCAGAGGTAAATATTATCTCCCAACTGCTAAAGATCAATCCAAAGGTAATTGATCTCCCAACTTCTGACAATCAGATCCAAGGTGAATTATCTCCCAACTAATGAAGATTAATCCAAAGGTGGATGATCTCCCAACTACAGAAGATCAAACCCAAGGTATATGATCTCTCAACTGCTGAATATCAATCCAAATGTGAATAAATGATCTCCCAACTTCTGAAGATCAATCCAAAGATAAATGATCTCCGAACTACAGACGATCAATCCAAAAGTGAATGATTTCCCAACTGCTGGCGATCAATCGAAATGTAAATGATCTCCCAACTGCTGAAGATCTATCATAATGTAAATGATCTCTCGACTGCTGAAGATCAATCCAAAAGTGAATGATCTGCAAACTGCTGGCGATCAATCCCAATGTAAATGATCTCCCAACTGCTGAAGATCTACCAAAATGTAAATGATCTTCCGATGGCTGAAGATCAATCCAAAGGTAAATGATCTCCCAACTGCTGACGATCACTCCAAATGTAAATTATCTCCCAACTGCTGAAGATTTATCCAAATGTAAATGATCTCCCGACTGCTGAAGATCAATTCAAAGGTAAACGATCTCCCAACTGCTGAAGATCAATCCAAAGGTAAATGATTTCCCATCTGCTGAAGATCAATCCAAAGGTAAATGATCTCCCAACTGCTAAAGATCAATTTAAAGGTAAATGATCTCCCAACTGCTAAAGATCAATCCAAATGTGAATTATCTCCCAACTGCTGAAGATCAATCCAAAGGTAAATGAAATCCTGAAACTTTTTTTTAACTTTAAGAGTTCATTATAAATCAAACAGACGGTTTTGAAATGTTAATTGTTAAAGAAAAAGTTTCCCATTTTAATGATGTTCACAGATAATAAAAAATGTAAATTTCTTTTTCTTTTCATTAAATTAAAAAGTTGTATTTAATATTAATATTATTTATGATATTTACAAGGTGAAGTAAGAAAGGTTTCACGAAGTGATGGAGAGGTAAAGTATTAAATATTAAATAAATCATAAAAATAAGAAATTAAAAGATGTCAAAATCCCACCTTCTCCATCTCCTTTTGGTTGTTTCGATTTTACTCATCAGAGACTTAAAACAATCTTAAACGTTTTTCTTATCTACTTTAGAATTGAGATGAAAATGTTTAAATACTTAATTTGTTGTTAGCAGAATTGGCGGAAGTATTGAGAAATTTTAAAAATGCAAAACTTTTTTAATCGTTACGTGAGCCAATAGTCGAAAATAATTTTACCTAAAGAACTAAAAAACAACGTTTAAAAAAATGTTCAGCCGTCAATATGATTCCCCCCACCCCCTTTGTTTTTGCGCGATAACTTAAAAAGTTATATTTAAGCTAAGAAGTTTAAATTTAAAAAGTTTTCATGGAGATATATTTGTATTGTTTAAGATAAAAATCAAAGCTTTAGTTAAACTACCTAGGCCCTACTACTGCCTTAAAACATGATTTTTCTACAGTAAACATATCTTTTCTTTTGAGGCACTTTTAGTTTTTGGATTTTAGAATGTAAATGTGACAGCTTTTTGGAAAACTAAAGCTAAAAGCACAAAAAGAACAAAACAAAATTTTTTGGAAACAAATTTCAATACAAATTATAGACACCCTATAATTTTTTTATTTCGATTTTTCTAATAACTTATAGATTCACACATAAATTTTTGGTTTATTTAGTGAATTTGCAAAAATTCGTTAAACTATGCTTCATATCATCTTATCAAATCTTTTTTCAGCCCCAAAGCATTGATCCCCCCCCCCCGGCTATTTTGGGTAAATCAGACATCAGTCGAAATATGGTTAAGTAAACAGTTTAAAATCATCAAAAATTCAAAAGTTTTACTTTTACCTTCATGAAAGGTGGTGACCGGTGGGCGGTTGTATAAATATAATGAAGACGACTTTTGATTTCATATTTGATTTATATCAAGCTTTTAAACAGCATGGATACACAAAATGGAAACGTAGAGAAGATGTCAATCATAATTTAAATCTAACCCTTCCCCCACCAGGATAAAATCAAGAAAAAAAAGCTAAACCATGAGATTGTTCAGGAGCTCGCCAGAAACTATGGAGTATTTTTCGAAGAAACATCTGCCAAAGCAGATATCAACGTGAAAAAGGTTAGACTAACAATTTAAAAGAATGATGTTAATAAGTGGAGCATTGTTCGAACGACAAAAAAAATTCAAAACATCTCTAAAACAATACCCCCCCCCCCCCCCCCCAAAAAAAAGTTGTTGTTAAGTATATATTGAATATTAGCTATAAGCTCTCAAGTAATTTTAACCTTATCAGGATGGACGGGGGGGGGGGGGTTGCAACCTCCCTCTCTATGGAGTTTTCAATAAACTGTGTTCTAAAGTATGAACAGCTAGTGTTTCGAATATGTTAATGTCAAACATTCAGAATTTAGAACAAAATGTTATCTTAAAAGGGGTTCCATTTGTAATTGCGCAAAATTAACTATTCTGAGTATTTTCAAAATGTATCTTGTTGCATATGCCATAACAAATTAATACCAGTGCCTCTGTTGTAATGGATATCAGAAGAATGAATCAAATTGTGTGCATCATTCCGCATGTTTAAAAATAGTTGTGCATTTTTTCAAAGGCTATTGTTTAATTAACATATAAACATATTTATTATTATTATTATTCAAATTTTTAACAAAACTTAGCGAAACCAGTAACATTCATAACTTATTATACATAATGTCACTGACACCATGCAAATGAATAAGTATGCTAAAACTTTTGTTGAATATAAAAAAATATAGTTTTTATTATTTCAGGTTTTCGAGGATATTGTCCGAGAACTGAAAGATCAAGAAAGAAAAATATTGTTCAAACCAAAAAAGAAATCCAAAAAAAGATGCACAATTTGTTGACATAAACCCAGCCAACAAGCTTTATTATTAATTTACAAACATTGTAATAGTTTTTTGGAAATACACTTTAAAATTATTTTTTTTATTCCAAAAATCATTTAGTACAAAAGCCGTCGTATATATCAATGCAACAAAGACGACTTTCAATTTTAATTCTGATTAAAAATTGCAACAGCATGGCCGGATACGCATACATGGAAACGAAGAGAAGGTGTCAATTAAACGCTTCTCTTTGCTTACTTGTAAACTTATAATTGTGTAAAAAGATTGTTAGAAATCAAAACTTAAATAGAAGAAAGTCTATATTGTATTGATTTAAACGCCGACAACTGTAAAAAATTTGTATTTTCTTTTATATTTTGGTTAATTTTCAAAGAACATGATTTTGCAATTATTTAAAGTTAATTCTTTTATTTCAAAAAAAATAATTTACATTTAATTTACTGTTATCCTTTTTTCCAGTTTTACATTTTTTCCCTTTTTTATCTCACCACTGGATATGATTTTTTTACAGTTTTACGCTTTTTCCCTCCTTTAGCACCCCCTTTAGCTCCTCCTTTAGATCCCCCTTTAGCACCCCCTTTAGCTCCTCCTTTAGCTGTCCCTTTAGCTGCCCCTTTAGCTGCTCCTTCCTTTTCTGGTTTAGAAAATGCAGCAAAAGCTTTCAGGGCAAAATCCGAAAGTACAGGCATAACTTTCTAGAGAAAAATATGATGTGTGAGCTGACCCAGAAACAATATTGGGGAAATCCTTCTCAGTTAAGAATATTAAACTTACATCTTTGTCTTTTTGGTCCTTGCTCAAATAGTTCTGGAGCATTTCCATTGCTCCAGTGATGGTTTCTGGTTTAGCCATCAACTAAAACAGAATTATTTATTCAATTTTCACTACAGTGGCAGGCGATTATATCAATACAATTAAGGCAACTTTTGATTTCAATTTTGATTACTTGTAAACTAGTAATTCGAGAAAAGCTTTTTAACAATAAAAACTTAAATAAAAATGTGGTCTTATTCAGATTTAAGGATTGATTTAAGGTGGTACAATATATACCCTGCTGCGGAATCAATTATAAATTTAAAAATAAAATATTCAATATTAAAGATTTTCCACACTCTAATTCAGTCTTTTTGTTACTTTTCATCATTAAACTCATCTACTTGATTATGCACTAAAACATCCAAAACCAAATCATGTAGAGAAGATTTAGTACAATGTCGTCTTCTTTCAGCGTAACTTAGGAACAAGGTTGTCCTTTAATATTCAATATCCGTTTCATGCAGGCAGAATGAAAAACTAAAGAGAAAATATGAGAAAACTACAATAAAAAACATCTTACAAAAGAAATCTGTTAATTTTTCGCCTTTTACAGTTGCTAAACCACGTAGACTAAGATAAAACTATTTATTGATGTTGAATCGAATCAAAATAAAAAGGATTAAACTCAGATCTTCAAATTCAACTAACTTCTTGCAACTAATTCAATTTTGTCCCTAGAACCATGTTTTAAGATCTTACCTCAACAACGTCTTGCAGAGCATAATCATCTCCATTAGTTCCGCCAGAACCTTCGGTGTTACCCTCACCTTCACCCTCTTCAGGGTTTCCAACATCTCCAGGGTTTGCTTTAGCTCCACCTGTTAAGATTATGTTTTGTACCATCATTTGTTTCAGTGAATTGGTTCCCGTGTAGTACTATTTAGGATTTTCTTCAATTCTTAAAAGGTCTAATTATCAATTGGAATATAACATGGATTCAAAGCACAGTCATTTGGATTAGCTTGTTTTAGTTAATTAAAACAAAATCGATGATATGTGATATGGATTTTAACCTTCAGGTTTCATCAGAGCGCCTAGAGCTTCTGTGGCAAGGTTTGCAATATCTCCAGCCTAAAGAAAATTTCGATTTTTCTAACAATTTAATTTTTTTTTTTTTTTTTTTGGGGGGGGGTTGATATGATTACTTATATTTGCGTTGTTTTTAATCAAAATTACCTTTCCAGATTCTAGTACTGTGTTGAGTAGGTCAACAGCCCCGCTAATAGTTTCAGGTTTACTGATTAACTAAATACAGGGTGTCCCAAAAAAACATGGGAATTCAGTGACGAATTGGATATCGTCTTTGTTATGAATTGGCATTGTAATGCCTAATTTCAAAAGCCATAATATTATTATGTCTGCTAGAGTTTATTTTATGAAAAGGGTAAAAGACTGTATAAGATGTGTCTATAATGTCTCCGCAAGATGAACAGTGAAGACGAATTTTTTTTTATCTCAAGTAGGACATAGAGGGGGGGATGGGACGTCTGCCATCCTGTGTATTCCCCTTCTAATTTTTCCTGTTCAAAGTTTTCTTCTTCTTTCTTGTTTATCTTGCTTTAAGCACCCAACTCTACTGTCAAGAGATTTCCCTTCCACTTTTTTCTGTCCAATTTTTTTTTTCTTCTTGCTTCTTGTTTCTTGTTTTTACACTTTAAGGCCTTTCCAAATAGTTCTTTTAACATCGAGTTGTGGAGCAGGTAGGAGAGAGATAAGGAGGTTTGTAGGAAGAAGGGTATAGGGGATTTCTCCCTGTGTTCCTTCATATTATACTGTTTCCCAGTTAGGGGAATTAAGGAATTTACCCATAACTGCACCCCATATGCAAATGGGGAGTTGTGATCCCTGAAAGCTCTATCGAGAGGTATCTTCCATGGCAGTCCAGTCCTCACATCTGGTTGAGTAAAAAACCGGTATCGTTGTGCATTGCTTGTATTCCCACGAAGGGTTAAACTCCTCTTTCATTGAACCAAGCATAGGTTTATAAGAAAGGACTACCAACTACCCTACGGCATAGGTTTATTTAAAGGACTTCCTACTACCCAACAGCATAGGTTTATATAAAGGAATACCCACTACCCTACAGCATAGATTTATATAAAGGGCTACCCGCTACACTACAGCATAGGTTTATAAAAAAGGACTACCCACTACCCTACAAGTTTATAGAAAGGACTATACACCCTACAGCAAAGGTTTGTATAAAGAACTACACAATACCCTACAACATAAGTTTATAGAAAGGACTATATATTACCTTACAATATATAGGTACTAGGTTATAGTACCCACTACCCTATAACAACATAAGTTTATAGAAAGGACATATACATATTACCCTACAAAATAGGTTTGTACAAAGGACTACACACTACCCTACAGAATAGGTTTATAGAAAGGACATATACATATTACTGTACAAAATAGGTTTATAGGACTACACACTAAACTACAACATAGGTTTATAGAAAGGAAATATACATATTACCCTACAAAATAGGTTTGTATGTAGGACTACACACTACCCTACAGAATAGGTTTATAGAAAGGACATATACATATTACTGTACAAAATAGGTTTATAGGACTACACACTTAACTACAACATAGGTTTATAGAAAGGAAATATACATATTACCCTACAAAATAGGTTTTATGTAGGACTACACACTACCCTACAACATAAGTTTGTAGAAAGGACTATACATTACCCTAGAAAATAGTTACCTCAAACAAGTCCTCTAATGCATAATCATCTCCTACACCTAAAGATTTAAATTTTAAACTGAAGAAAATTGTATAAAATGTGGAAAATCGACGAAATAATGAAGAAACATTTGCTTTAGATAAAAATTGCAAAAAAGATAATATATGAAAAAGATAAGTTGGTTGTTGTCATAGGTTTTCGCTTTCACTGTTCTGCATTATCAAGAAGTATATGAACCATGACCACCCGAAAATAAATGATAATAAAGTGAACTGCAGTTTCTAGGAGTAATGTGAACAAACTCAGACTTTAGGATTTATACGCACATTTTTATTTTTTTTTATTTCCTACTATTAAACTTTTAAATTATGCGTATTTCTGTAGTCACCCTTTTTGTAAAGTTTGGTGGCACTGATGCATAACGGACAGTGTACTCGTTAAATTGGGGTTTACTTGAATTTCCGCCATACGTCAGTCACTTCAACTTCTTTTCAAAATCCAACTTATGTACGGCGTATTTAGGACAAGATGAAGAAAAAAATATTATAATTTAAATTTCATTAAAAAACTTTAAAATCTTTTTTTTTTACCTTTAGAACCTGCAGTATAAGCTGGATTGTTAATATTTGGTTTCTCACCTACAATTATTTATTTCAGAGTCAAGTTGACCGTTCTGTTTTTTTTATAAAATGAACAGAAAATTCAATTGACAAACAACGTTGATTTTTAAACCGTTAAAGGGAATGACCGACAATGTATGGTAGATGAACTGAGAATCTAGTATTGTGGAGAATTTTTTAAGGAATCATTTGAGACATGTAAAACGTTTATATGATGTATAATTACTGAGGTTGAGCGCAAAGTCGATGATCAAAATCATCCATGGGAACGTCTTGAGAATCAATTTATTCAAATTATTAAATTACGACGACTAAAAATGTAAAAAAAATCTCCATTTAACTTATTAGAATAAAATCTTGAATACAATCTGGAATAGAATCTAAAATAGAATCTTGAATAGAAGCTAGAATATAATCTTGAAATGAATCTGTAATAGAATCTAGAATAGAATCTAGTATACTATCTATAGTACAATCTACAAAAGAATCTAGCATTCTTGAATATATTTTAATATTTTCGCTTGCAATTGCTCGATAAAATATGCCAAGGAAAATGTTTTTTTTCATCTCAAAAACCATGGTGCAGTGTTTATTTCAATTCCTCGAAATTCAAAGTACAAAGTTAAACCTTAAACCTTACCCGTTTCAACCAAAAACGTTTTAGAGTTGACAACACTTATCAAGGGAAGGAGTAAAAATATTCTCATGATTTTCTAAAATAAAATAAAAAATCAAGTTCATTCTAGTCAAATATCCAAATATATGTATTTTAATAGGTGTTTTATGGGAAGCGAGTAGCATGGGAAACTTACGAATGGGAAACTTTCGAATGGGTAGCTAAAAGCTATTGCATGGGAGATGGAAAACAGTTCACCTTTTGATTTCGCTAGTTACTGAATACAAATTAAATTGTGGCTTTGTTCTTATTTTTATCATTTAATTTAATTTCACTGATTAAAGACTTGCCGTTACATACTAAATTTGTTAATAAATAACTAAGGTGTTTCATCACAGAATTTATTTCATTTAATGACTATAAAGTATTAAGCATTATTAATATAATTTTGTATGCTTATGGAAATAAAAAAGATCTACAACATGTATTATGTATTGGCAGAAAAATTCGAATCAATGGAACATCAAACCCCCGATGGATTCAATGATAAACTCTAGGGAGGGTTGTCAATCGTTTTTAAAAACGATCGAAAAAAAATGAAGGGTCGTTGTTAACAGTCTTAACGATTGTCAAAAAAACCATAGAGAATAGAATATATATTAGAGAGGAATTTAAAGAATCTCTCGGTATGCATTTTTTCAGTCCCTTTCAGCCTGAAAGGGAGTTCAAAGTGTACACATCATGTAAATGTTCACAAAATATATGCAGTAGAGTATATTAATACAGTATGTTCCCTAGACTATTCATTTCAATTTCGAATTTTTTAAAGCTGTTAAATAAACTTTATAAAATGAATTAGGTAAATAAAAACCATCATTTGATTTATAGCTATAACGGAAAATCATCGTTTGTAAGTGAAAGGCATAGAGTCTATGTGAAATGATCATTGGTCAATTATGAAACCAGCCTATTTCATAATTTGGTTTTCTTATAACATTAATTTTAGATTTTCTATAAAATGATATTCCAGGGCCCAAAAGGTTATATAGCATAAATATGTGAAGTTCACCTGCAGTATGGAAACAGTACAACAAAATGGCCGTTTTACACTTTTTTCTAGTAAATTCCCCTCTAATATATATTCTATTCTCTTTGTAAAAAACCAACACGGTGTTTCCCTACAACTGATATTTTGGATTTGCTTATATTTCAATTAAAACGACCTGAGCTGAAAACTTTAGAATGATGGATATCGGGATTAATGCTTGATCCTCTCTTTTTGATAATCTCAAGATTAACATAACCTTGCAAGATTATCTTAAAAGTGTATGAAAAACGATAAAATTCATATTAATATTTAATCATCTGAGAAACTGTAGCAGCCAATCAGAGAAAAGCGGGCAACCAATGAGAAAACAGAAATATTCTCATTGGAGAATACAATTAACGGATATCCAAGGAGAAAAGGAGTTGATTAGGACAAAAATGAAAAGTTTCCACAGTGGATATTCGGATCAAGAAGTCAGGATTAAAGTTTATCCATTCTAAAGTTCCCAGCTCTGATAATCTTGCAATAAATATATTATTAGTTAAACTAGATTGGGAAATTTACATTTTAAGCAAAATTGCCATTCATATGAACCTTTCTAAATTGGTTTAGCTGTGACTCGAAACATTTAGAGATTTATGCAGTCACCGGCGCGTTATCTCATGGGGCTGACACACTTTCTGATTTCTGCTGAAAACTCTGCCAAAATCATTTCAAGCTCTTCATCAGTAGCAGGTTGAGCAATAGCTGTAACCTGAAGGTTTGGCGAACCTGAAGCTTATCCCGAAGTTTTCCATATTCCAGGAAAATCCAGATTTTCTACTCTACAGTGAGTGAGAGGGCTATTTGACCTTTCAATTCTGACTGTCCATTTTGTTCAACCAAAATATGAAATGTTCCTTCAAGCTTATCAATTTCCCGGATTTTTTTTATCCAGTATTGCGCATTTTTCAATAAAATTTAAGCAAATCAAAAAATCAAAAACTAAAAAAACGTTTGCGTTTTTTGATATAAAAAAGACCTCTGCGTTTTTTGATATAAAAAAACGATCCTTTTCAAAAATGGTCGTTTTGAATATGATCGTTTCTTGTTTCGTTTTATCTATGTCATTAACGAAACAATCGGTTTGTTTTACAGAAAACTGAAAATGATTTATCCCTACGGCTAAGGGTGTAGAAATATTTGTAAAAAAGCTCCGAAACTTAAAAACAACTAATAAAAAATTTGTTAAACATTCGCAGCATTCTTTCGAAGGAAAAATACAAAGTAGAGGGACAAGATTGAAAAAAAAATGTCCATATTATTCATTTTCTTTTTTCTTTTTTCTTTGGTGTTTTGTTATTGAATATATTTTTTAAGTGAACATAGGTTATAATTGCAAATAGAAGTTGTTTTAAAGTAGATCTGTAGTTTTTCAATCTATTCCATATTCGTGAACAGAGCCCGCAATTTAAAAGCTTCGGTTAGAACACGTTGAATTAATCAAAGGTTCTGTTAAAGGGAGTGACCGGCAATGTATGGTGGTTGAACTGAAAATGTAGTATTGTTGAAAAAAAAATAATGAATCATTTGAGACCTATAAAATGTGTCTACGACGTATAATTACTGAGTTAGAGCGCAAAGAAGATGTTAAAAATCATCAATTTTGTGTGGTAACGTTTTGAGAATCAATTTTTTTAAATTATCAAATGACGACAAAAAATGCAACAAAAATTCTACAGTAAACAAATTTGTTATTTAGGAACAGGTTGAGAAAATAAGAATCAGCTTATCATCGAAAATAAGTAATCTTATTCAGTTATTAGTTTCTGTAATGGCTCATTGTTCACAAACATTTTATGTAGATTTGCTGGAATTTTTATTGAAAAACGACATTTGAAGAATTTGTTAAGAATAAGAAATTCAAGATAATGACGAAAAAGAAATAATTGATTCTAACATTGATTTATTTACTTTCTAATTAGAAATATGTTCCTAAACATCTAATTAGTCTACTATCGAATTTTGATACATTTTTTGTCAATGTTATTTTTTAATTTTTAAAAATCTATTCTCAAAACGCTGCCACCCAGATGGATGATTTTGAACGTCGACATTGCGCTCAAACTCAATAATTATACATTATTAAAACATTTCGGTGGGTAAGATTTGAGAATCGGTCTTTTCTAAAAAAGTAACAAAAAATTCTACAGTAAACTAATTAGTTGTTTAGCAACTGAGTGGATAAAAATTAACTTTTATCGACGAAAATAAGTAGTTTTATTCAGTTACAAATTTCTGTAATCTCTCATTCTTCACAAACATATTCTGTAGATTTTCTGGAATTTTTATTGAAAATACTACATTTGATAAGATATTCAATATAATAATTTTAATATTGATTTACTTTTGAGAAATATATAAGTTCTGAACGTCTAGTAAGTTTACTGTAGAATTTTGTTACAATTTCCGTCGTCTATATTTAATAATCTTAATAAAATCAATTCTTAAAATATGACCACCTAAATTCATGATTTTGAACGTCGACTGAGCACTCAAATTCAAGAGAAAGAGAAAGATAAACATGTAATCATATTTATACGGGTGTGCATATTTTATATTAAGGAAGTTTTTGAATCATTGAGTTCGTGCAATAATATTTTCAAAAATTCGGAATGCATTAAATTATTTGTGTTTATAAAAATTTCCAACTATGTAGTTTCAGTTTATATTTGTTTACTGCAGTACGGTAACCATATCTGCTTACTGCAGTACAGTAACCATATCAGTTGACTACAGTACGGTAACCATATCTGTTTACTCCAGTACAGTAACCATATCTGTTTAATGCAGTACGGTAACCATAACTGTTTACTGTAGTACAGTAACCATATCTGTTTACTGCAGTACGGTAACCATATCTGTTTACTGCAGTACAGTAACCATGTCTGTTGACTGCAGTACGGTAACCATATCTGTTGAGTGCAGTACGGTAACCATATCTGTTGACTGCAGTACGGTAACCATATCTGTTGACTGCAGTACGGTAACCATATCTGTTGACTGCAGTACGATAACCATATCTGTTGACCACAGTACGGTAACCATATCTGTTGACTGCAGTACGGTAACCATATCTGTTGACTGCAGTACGGTAACCATATCTGTTGACTACAGTACGGTAACCATATCTGTTGACTGCAGTACGTTAACCATATCTGTTTACTGAAGTACGGTAACCATATCTGTTGACTGAAGTACGGTAACCATATCTGTTGACTGCAGTACAGTAACCATATCTGTTGACTGCAGTACGGTAACCATATCTGTTTACTGCAGTTCGGTAACCATGTCTGTTGACTGTTGTACGGTAACCATATCTGTTGACTGCAGTACGGTAACCATGTCTGTTGACTGCAGTACGGTAACCATATCTGATGACTGCAGTATGGTAACCATATCTGTTGACTGCAGTATGGTAACCATATCTGTCGACTACAGTACGGTAACCATATCTGTTGACTGCAGTACGATAACCATATCTGTTTTTACTGCAGTTCGGTAACCATATCTGTTGACTCCAGTACGGTAACCATGTCTGTTGACTGCAGTACGGTAACCATATCTGATGACTGCAGTACAGTAACCATATCTGTTGACTGCAGTACGGTAACCATATCTGATGATTGCAGTATGGTAACCATATCTGTTGACTGCAGTGTAACCATATCTTTTGACTGCAGTACGGTAACCATATCTGTTGACTGCAGTACGGTAACCATATCTGTTGACTGCATTACAGTAACCATGTCTGTTGACTGCAGTACGGTAACCATATCTGTTGAGTGCAGTACAGTAACCATATCTGTTGACTGCAGTACGGTAACCATATCTGTTGACTGCAGTACGCTAACCATATCTGTTGACTGCAGTACGGTAACCATATCTGTTGACTGCAGTACGGTAACCATATATATTGACTGCAGTACGGTAACTATGTCTGTTGACTGGAGTACAGTAACCATATCTGACGACTGCAGTACGGTAACCATATCTGTTGACTACAGTACGGTAACCATATCTGATAATTGCAGTACGGTAAAACCATATCTGTTGACTGCAGTACGGTAACCATGTCTGTTGACTGCAGTACGGTAACCATATCTGTTGAGTGCAGTACGGTAACCATATTTGTTGACTGCAGTACGGTAACCATATCTGTTGACTGCAGTACGGTAACCATATCTGTTGACTGCAGTACGGTAACCATGTCTCTTGGCTGCATTACGGTAACCATATCTGTTGACTGCAGTAATAATTAAGAATAATAATTAGTAATCTTTTTTTAACAGATGAAAGGAGTTGTTACAATCTCTGATTTACCAATCACTATATCTTTGAAACTCAATGTCGTAGTTTTTAGATATTTAAACTAAAAATTTTGTTAGATTAAATCATCTAAGATTGAAATATCAAAGGCTCACACCACCAGGTTGCAAAGATAAAAGGATTATTAAACTTGATTATGTGGCAAAGTATCAAATCAGAATTTGTTAAAATAACCAATGCTTTAACAAAAGTTTGATCAAACCGGGGTTTTAAATATATATATTTTGTTATAAATACAATACATATAATATATATAAACGTACTTCAGGTTACATTAATTATTTACAATAATACACCCACGTATTCAAAATTATCCAGCTTTTCCACAAAATAAAATAATTCTTCAAAATTTTTGTATTCTGAAATTTTTTTTGTTAATTCTGCAAGTAATAAAAGATCTTTTAAATTTTGATTTGCTTACAGTCCCAGAGATATGACGACTCAAAATTTGATTTTTGAAACGCAGCTTTTGAAAATAACTCTATAATTTGGATAGTTCAAAAATACACATATATACGTTTAAAGGGAGTGGCCGGCTATGTAAGGTAGTTGAACTGAGTATGCAGTGTTGTGGAAAACTTCTTTCGGATTCAACTACCTTACATAGCCGGTAACTCCCTTTAAGTTGTTGCACTATAAATTTAAAAATGTAAAGGCTGCTTCGTATTTTTGTAAATTCACGCTGTGTAATAGGAACAAAAAGATTTACTTTTTCTAACCGACACAACTTACATTGAAAATATCCAGAGCAAATTATTGCAATAAATAACTAAGACAATAAAAAAGGATGAATTCAGGATATGTGTGCATGTAAACATTTTATACAAAGTGTTTCATTACAATGAAGACGACTTTAGATATAAACTTTTTATTTAAACTTTTAACAGCTTGTATACACATACGTACACATGAAAAAGGAAAGCTGTAATTTTATTAAGCTTTTCTTCGTTTATTTGTGAACCTTTAATTTGAAAAAAGCTTTGAAGAAATTTAAACTTAAATAGAACAGTCGTCTTCATTGTATTTATATTAACGCCGACCACTATGTCGCGTTCAAATAAATAAAATAAATTACAAGTGAATGAACAGATGTTTATGGGCAATATTATGTTTTCTAAAATAGATATTAATAGATCTTTTTGTTTGTATATTAATTTGAAATTTAGGAGTGTTTTAAATTTTAAAAATCGTTAAAAATAACATCTTTATATTGCATAATGCATATTCTTCTAGACATTCTCTAAAAAGGTTAATAATACAACAGCAACATACAGGGTCAGTTAAAAAATGTAATTATCACGGAAACAATCTTGCAATGCTTTCATTTAGAAACAATGTTATTTTAATAAAGTCTAACGTTAGAAACATTAAGGCTTGAACAACGCAACGTATAGAACATTTTTTCAAATCTTTCTTAGAAACGAAACGAATAAACTGTTTTGATTGTCAGTTGTAAAAAAGTGTAACAAAAAAGTTTTCACAATAACGTTTCGATAAATCGTAACGCAAGAAAAGGTGCATTTTAGTAAAATTTCTAAACGTAATTAAAAGAGTTTATATTGGAAAAGTTAAGATAAATCGTAACGTTAACAAAAAATATTCTTTGCACTGAAATGCATTGTAACGTACAGAACTATGCCCCAATGACGTTTTATTAGAGCAAAACGTTTGTCATCTTTTAGATCTTAAACCAAGTGAAAGTGTAACGTAAGGTCTCTGTAAATATTTACCTTGCATGAAAGTAGAACGTTAAAAAATTGTGATTTCATTACATAAGCTTTAACGCAACGTTGGGAAAGTTTTTTAAAACGGGAAATGCAAAAGCGTAACGGATCTTACTGTTTTTCCACAACATTTACTAAAGCTTAACGTTGTATAAGATATTCAAGTGCAGAAAATTCATTACGTAACGTTACTATATGCCAAAAAATTTCATAATGTGCAACGTAACGTTTCAAACCTTAATACTTTTGATGAACACTATCGTAAGGAAAGCTAAAATCTAGAAAAATCAAAACGTTGACATCTCTAATATGTAGGAAACAAATTACGTCTAATTTTAACAGGTGTAACAATTGATTGTAACATTTGCATTACATTTAAAGGATATGTACACATTATTAAATAAATATCCATTATATAAATAGGATATGAATAGTTTTGTAGATTATGTATCTATTACATTTCAACGATAAAAATTGCAATCATTTGATACGATTTACATGTAGAGAGGATGTTTTACATTTAAAGGATATGAATTACAATCTTATGATATAAAGCACATTTATTTGATATTAACAACATGTATAGAATATGTATCACATCTATAGGATTTGTATTACATGTATAGGATATGTATTACATGTACAGAATATTAGACTTTTAGGGCGCCTCGCGCCCATGTTCTATTTCAATTGTGAAAAGTACCAGACAAAATGTACAAAATGTGGGCCCAATCAGAAGTTTATTGGATACAAAGATACAGACACCCCAACAGATAAAGTATAAATAGAACTAGGCTTGGAAGTGCTTTGCGCCCATCTTCTATTTCAACTTTTAATTTTGGCTCTATTTGTGAGCATCTTTTTTTGTACCTTTTTGTACATTATAAAACATAATCAAAAAAAGAACGCTAATTTTATGATGTTTTTTGTGCATTTCAAAATACAAATTTGTGTAATTTTGAGCATCCCTAAACCTTCCCAGAGGTCATGTGAGGTCCCAAAATTTTGCCCGATATCGGTTCACCCGTTTGGACGTTATTGAACACAAACAGACAGACAAATAGACAATCAAGTAAAGTATAAATAGATTGATGTATTGTATAGGAGATAGGTATCTGACTATATTGATGATGATAAAGTCCTTATTCAGATTGAACATTGATGACGACTTCGATCAACTGCCATGCATGCATGGGGAATATTGCATTAAGCATATACTGTAAACTTAAGTTTTAAGAGATTTAGATTTAGATTAAGAAAGATCTACAACTGTGAATCTCTCTACTCTATGTGGAAGGTCACTTGAGATTAAATCTTTAGTCCGTTTAAGATTTACAAAGCTGGAATGTTAATAGAATAATACTTTTTGATAACAAAAACAAGCAAAGAACAAACTGTACTAAACTGTACAAAAATATGATTATCTTAGAAACTTATTTTTTTCTAACAATGCCAATTCTGATTTCCAAGTTTTAGGCCGGTTTAGGGTAACCCTGTAGTTACACCTCCAATATTCAGTTAAAACATGCGTTTAGGACGCCTCCAATATACAGTTAAAAAGATGTGTTTAGGACGCCTCCAATATTTAGTTAAAACATGCGTTTAGGACGCCTTCAATATACAGTTAAAAATATGTGTTTAGGACGCCTCCAATATTCAGATAAAAAGATGTGTTTAGGACGCCACCAATATGCAATTAAAAAGATGTGTTTAGGACGCCTCCAATATACAGTTTAAAAGATGTGTTTAGGACGCCTCCAATATACAGTTAAAAAGATGTGTTTAGGACGCCACCAATATGCAGTTAAAAAGATGTGTTTAGGACGCCACCAATATGCAGTTTAAAAGATGTGTTTAGGACGCCTCCAATATACAGTTTAAAATATGTGTTTAGGACGCCTCCAATATTCAGTTAAAAGATGTGTTTAGGATGCCTCCAATATTCAGTTAAAAGATGTGTTTAGGACGCCTCCAATATTCAGTTAAAATAATGTGTTTAGGACGGCTCCAATATTCAGTAAAAAGATGTGTTTAGGACGCCTCCAATATTCATTTAAAAGATGTGTTTAGGACGCCTCCAATATTCAGTTAAAAGATGTGTTTAGGACGCCTCCAATATTCAGTTAAAAGATGTGTCTAGGACGCCTCCAATATTCATTTAAAATAATGTGTTTAGGACGGCTCCAATATTCAGTAAAAAGATGTGTTTAGGACGCCTCCAATATTCATTTAAAAGATGTGTTTAGGACGCCTCCAATATTCAGTTAAAAGATGTGTTTAGGACGCCTCCAATATTCAGTTAAAATGATGTGTTTAGCACGCCTCCAATATTCAGTTAAAAAGATGTGTTTAGGACGCCTCCAATATACAGTTAAAATGATGTATTTAGGACGCCTCCAATATTCAGTTAAAATGATGTATTTAGAACGCCTCCAATATACAGTTAAAATGATGTGTTTAGCATGCCTCCAATATTCAGTTTTGAAGGTTTATCTATCCAGTAGGTTGGTAGGGATCCCTTTCCTTTCACCTGAAAACAAACATGTTAGATATTAAAGGGACTGTCCGCCCAGTGTAAACATAGACCCTTTAACGACCCTTCATTTCATTATATAAACGGTACCCTTTAAGACGAAATGTCGAAAATATCCTTGTTTCTGAAAATTTATATTTGCCTATTTTTATTGATCTGTAAAAATTACTTAATGTACGATGATCTAAATATCATTGATATTAATTTTGAAAACTGAAATTTTCACTTTTGGTTTATTTTCGAAAATGAATATCGCATTTCTAATGCAAAAAAACATTTAGAAATTATCAGAATTGATTGCTTTTAACCCAAGAAAAATGACAAGATTTTTGATTTATTGATCAGTAAAAAGGATTCAAGGGTACCAATGTGAATCAATTACGCTCACAGTCCTTGTAATAGGTTTTATACTTTTTTCATAATTTCAATTGATTAAAATTAAAAGATTACAATGCCGCAAGTTGAAAATGCGGAGAGGAAACGAAGGCTTCAATTTAAAAAGTTTAACACTAACTCCCAAATCTTATTAAAGTTTCAGAGAGGTTTTACTCAAGGATTATTTTATAAAAAAACTGGCTGAGGGGGGTGAGGCTTACATTTAGAGATGGGCACTGTTCACTTTTTTGAAAAACATTGTAAAAACAAATATTTAAGTTTTAGTTTTGAAAGTGACTGCTTTTAAAAGTAGAAAGTGTAAACGAAACTATACTTTTCAGTTTTAAACACAATATTCTTTCGTTTTCAAAAGACACAAAGAATGTTTTCTTAAAACGTATTTAAATCAAATTAATTATGAAAATTCGCTTTGATCGTGTTCTTTCTACAGAAGCAAATTCACAACAGCCTACTTATCTAAACCTCTCTTTAGAAAAAATGTCTAAATTTAAATTTTATTTGAACTAATTTTGAAATATTTTACCACAGAACTACGGTCCTAAAGGGAGTGACCGGCAATGTATGGTAGTTGAACTGAGAATGTAGTATTGTGAAGAATTTTGTTAGGATTAATTAGCGACAAATAAAACGTTTAAATGATATATAAGGAATAGGTCGAGAAAATAAAATTAACTTGTCATCGAAAATAAGTAATCTTATTCGGTTATTAGTTTCTGTAATGGCTCATTGTTCACAAACATTTTAGGTAGATTTTCTGGAATTTTTATTGAAAAGAAACGACATCTGCGAACCAATTTGTTAAGAACAAGAAATTCAATAGAATGAAGAAAAAGAAATAATTAATTCTAACACTGATTTATTGACTATTGAAATATTTTCTTAAACATCTATTTAGTTTACTATCTAATTTTTGATACATTTTTTGGGTCTGTCCTAGTATACGATTTTTGGACCCCCCACCACCCCCCCCCCCTCCTATCAATTTTGTACATGACCTTTATTTTTTTGTTATTTAGGGTTAGGTTAGGTTAAGATACTTTCTGGGCCGAGCGCTGCGGCTAGGATGGGCTAGGGGGCCGAGCGCTGCGGCCACGGGTTAGGTTAGTTAAGACACTTTCTGGGCCGAATGTAAAAAATTGATAGGAGGGGGGGGGTGGGGGGGGGTCCAAAAATCGTATACTAGGAAATTACCCATTTTTTGTCGATGTTATTTAATAATTAAAAAAACTATTCTCAAAAAATAACTACCCAAAAGGATGATTTTGAACGTCGACATTGCGCTCAAATTCACTAATTATACATCATTAAAACGTTTTATATGTCACAAATTTATCCTAAAACAATTTCCCCACAATACTACATTTTCAGTTCAAACATTACTGATCACTCCCTTTAAATAGTTCTATTCGGTTTCTAAAACTACAGATTTATGAGCTTTCAAAAATCCAAAACAAAACGTACACGTGCTTGCTTTGAATAGATGTTTACGTATTTATCTAGCCGTCAACAATTCTTTGAATAATGCAAAATTCTTTAATTAAATATTTTATTTTCTTCTGATAAACTTATCACAAGCTTTGTTTTCAACCCACTTAACAGATCCAGACTGAGGATTATTGTAAAATCTTCAAAACCTATCCAGGGTTAGTTACAAAGTATGTTTAAAAGACAAAGACAAGAATTTATATTTAACCAACAACTAAAGAGTCATAATTAAAGTCACACTCTTACTATTAAAAGGAACTGTATTGTCAAGTAACCATTCAGTTAATTGTACAGGTCTGATTCACATATGTGAAAGATAACATCGTTTGTCTTAGGAAGCATTTCCCCTAACCTTTTTTTGGCCTCTGAAATCCCCTAACCTGATTTTGCCCCTGAAACCTCCCTAACCTGAGTTTGCCCTTGATAACCTCCTAACCTGTTTTTTCTCCTGATAACCTCCCTAACCTGTGTTTGCCCCTGAAACCTCCCTAACCTGTGTTTGCCCCTGATAACCTCACTAACCTGTGTTTGCCACTGAAACCTCCCTAACCTGTGTTTGCCATTGAACACTCCCTAACCTGTGTTTGCTCCTGAAACCTCCCTAACCTGTGTTTGCCCCTGAAACCTCCATAAACTGTGTTTGCCCCTTAAACCTCCCTAACCTGTGTTTGCTCCTGAAACCTCCCTAACCTGTGTTTGCCCCTGAAACCTCCTAACCTGTTTTTTCTCCTGATAACCTCCCTAACCTGTGTTTGCCCCTGAAATCTTCCTAACCTGTGTTTACCCCTGATAACCTCACTAACCTGTGTTTGCCCCTGAAACCTCCCTAACCTGTGTTTGTCCCTGATAACCTCCCTAACCTGTGTTTTCCCCTGAAACCTCCCTAACCTGTGTTTGCCACTGATAACCTCCCTAACCTGTGTTTGCCCCTGAAACCTCCCTAACCTGTGTTTGCCATTGAACACTCCCTAACCTGTGTTTGCCCCTGATAACCTCACTAACCTGTGTTTGCCCCAGAAATCTCCCTAACCTGTGTTTGCCCCTGAAACCTCCATAACCTGTGTTTGCCCCTGAAACCTCCCTAACCTGTGTTTTCCCCTGATAACCTCACTAACCTGGGTTTTTCCCTGATAACCTCACTAACCTGATTTTGCCACTGAAACCTCCCTAACCTGGGTTTGCCCCTGATAACCTCACTGACCTGTGTTTGCCCCTGAAACCTCCCTAACCTGTGTTTGCCCCTGATAACCTCACTAACCTGTGTTTACCCCTGATAACCTCACTAACCTGATTTTGCCCCTGAAACCTCCCTGACCTGCGTTTGCCCTTGATAACCTTCTAACCTGTATTTTTCCCCTGAAGCTGCATGTTATCCCTGAATCCTTTATTTTGTCAGCAAAGCTCTCCGTGACCTGGAATAATGTTGGTTTCTTATTTATACTGACAAGTTGACAACCAAACATTTACTTTAAAAAATTGTAAATATTGTCTTTAAGAAAAATTTATGAAGATAAGTAATAGAACTTAGACCTGTATTCTGTCCTGTGGTATTATTAATCTGTATTCTACCCATCTGTCCTGTGTGGTATTATTAATCTGTATTCTACCCATCTGTCCTTTGTGGTATTATTAACTTGTATTCTACCCATCTGTCCTGTGGTATTATTAACCTGTATTCTACCCATCTGTCCTGTGGTATTATTAACCTGTACTCTACACATCTGTCCTGTGTGGTATATTAACCTGTATTCTACCCATCTGTCCTGTGTGGTATTATTAACCTGTATTCTAGCCATCTGTCCTGTGTGGTATTATTAACCTGTATTCTACCCATCTGTCCTGTGATATTATTAAACTGTATTCTACCCATCTGTCTTGTGGTATTATTAACCTGTATTCTACCCATCTGTCCTGTGGTATTATTAACCTGTATTCTACCCGTCTGTCCTGTGTGGTATTATTAACCTGTATTCTACCCATCAGTCCTGTGTGGTATTATTAACCTGTATTCTACCCATCTGTCCTGTGGTTTCCATCCTGCTGGCCACATTAACAGTGTTTCCCCAGATATCATACTGAGGCTTCCTATAAACGCAATATGTAATTAATTCAAATTCATATTCATTCATTCTGAGAAAACTGGATAAATACCTGGGCAATGAGTCATGGTTTTCCCCAGACAATATATATGCTTCCGCTGAGGGCAAATATCTTTTAGGGTTTGTTACCTGGCTCCAACTACACCTAATAATATTGTTACCTGGGTCCAACAACATCTAATAATATTGTGACCTTATTCCAACTATATATTATAATACTGTTACATGACTCCAACTATACCTAATAATAATGTTACCTGGCTCCAACTACACCTAATAATCTTGTTACCTTACTCCAACTACAACTTATAATGTTGTTACCTTACTCAAACTACACCTAATAATATTGTTACCTGGCTCCAACAACACCTAATAATATTATTACCTGTCACCAACTGCGCCTAATAATATTATTATCTGGCTCCAACAACACCTTATAATATTGTTACCTGGCTCCAACAACACCTAATAATATTGTTATCCATGGCTCCAACAACACCTAATAATATTGTTATTTTACTTCAACTACACCTTATAATATTGTTACCTGGCTCCAACTGCACCTAATAATATTTTTACCTTACTCCAACTACACCTAATAATATTATTACCTGGCTCCAACTACACCTAATAATATTGTTACCTGGCTCCAACTACACCTAATAATATTGTTACCTGGCTCCAACTACACCTAATAATATTGTTACCTGGCTCCAACTACACCTTATAATATTGTCACCTGGCTCCAACTACACCTAATAATATTGTTACCTGGCTCCAACTACACCTAATAATATTGTTACCTGGCTCCAACGACACCTGCTACAACAGGCCCAGTGCTGGCTCCAACCCGTAGTAAAAATACCTAGACAATACTATTTTATGACAATTAATAATAATGCATAAAGGACTATACATAGGCCGGATTCATTGGTGTCTTATTGTCATTAGTTTTGATTCAATCATGTTCTGTAATTAAACGGTATTAAGTCCTGCAATATTGAATTCTCTTCAAATTTCAGTCCTAAATCATTGTTGAAACGTGTATATATTTTCTTATATAAGTCTATGCATCTATGTATCAATGCATCCTATGCAAATGATAAAACTCGTTTTTAACTCCAATGGTCTCATATCGTCCTGGTATCTGAATCTGAAGCAACAACATATTTATTTTTTCAATGAATTTAATAAATTCGTCCGGATAACAGTGATTTCTTTAATTTGATCAAAATAAACATCATCCTTACCAAAATTAAAATAAGAAATTTTAACAAAAAATGCTAAGTTTAGGAAGCTATTTTGACATGGTATTAGTCATGACTTACTTTAGAATCTTATGATAGAATCAGGTTTCAGTTTCAGTTTCTTTATATGAAAAAAAGCGGTTTACCTGAAATGAATCCCTGTTGATATTATCAAGAAGTTGCATCAGCTGATGAGCAAACTCTACCATTACAATGGCAACATGGGACTCACGTTGCGCCTGCGCAGTGAAAATATAAATAAAAATGGCGGAACTAATTTGCAAAGGACACCGATGGATTAAAACTAAATATCAGTTGATTTTAATTAGATCTGGCACTGTCAAATATGCATTTCTAGGATAAATTAAAACAACATTGTTTTACATCTCTGTCTAGCTGTTTACTCTCTCTGCCATGTAAACATATAAACAGATAGATTTAGAATATATTAGAAATACTCAAGAGTGTTTGGTGTCTAAAATGCACCTTTCTAAATCAGAATTTTCTTGTTATTACTGTATGCACAGTAATTAAAAAGAAAGAATAAAATTGAATGATGTTCAACATAATGGCCTAAAACAGAATTTTTTTCTCTATAAATCCAAATAGTTTATTAATGATTTTACCTCCTTTTTCCAGGACTGCCCTGGTGTAAGTCCTGCAGCTACCATATAGCTGCTTCCTATAGTCTTTATTTTCTCTATACAACTGAACTTAGGCTTAGACAGCAGCTTCAAAAAAAGAAGCAGTTAAAAAGTTATTTTTTTTTTGCAATACGCATATTTTTATCAAAAGTATATTTATTGTTCATTAGACAGTAACACGGAAAAAAGTTTTGGTCTTTGACTTACAAATATATTTTTCCAATTAGATTGAATTTAGAAAAAAAATGAAGAATAAAGCTTACCAGATCAAAATCACAAATGATTTCATTAAGAAGTCTGATACATTCCAGACCCTGCTTATTAATATCATTCTCATTGTAGAACTCCTATCAACATATTTTTCAAATACTTGATCAATAAAAATTCTCAGCAAAAAACAGGGTGTCCCAATACACATGGATATATTAATTATTGAGCAATAATGTTGTTCTTAATAAATTGAAATTTGGAAAAATTTCTCGATACCCGACTTATACTATATATAGTAGTATATAGTTAGGTTTCAGTGTTACATGTTTTAAACGAAATACTGATCCTTTATTTACAAAAGAAAAGGTCGCGTTAAGCACAGACAATATAGGAGTCATTAATTAATTCCCATGTATATTGAGAGACCCTATGGTTGATCTTAAAACTTTTGAGACAATAATGTTTATTTTACAAAACAAAATACAAGATATTGTACAATGAACAAATAGTTAATCTGCCATTTGATCATGGCCCCTTTTAACAGTAAACAATCAAAACCCAGAGTTAGTTTTTCACTAGTTCTTTGTAATGGAAAGTAAAGGTGTTTTTTCTTTATATTGGAAAGGAGCTCGTTCTTTGTTTTGGAAAAGAATTCGTACTTTGTATTGGAAAGGAGCTTGTTCCTAGTATCGGAGAGGAGATTGTTTTTTGTATTGGTGAGGAGATTTTTCTTTGTATTGGAAAGGAGCTTGTTCTTTGTATTGGAAAGAAGCTTGTTCTTTGTATTGGAAAGGAGCTTTTTCTTTGAATTGGAAAGGAGACTGTTTTTTGTATTGGAAAGGAGATTGTTCTTTGTATTGGAAAGGAGCTTGTTCTTTGTATTGGAAAGGAGATTGTTCTTTGCATTGGTATTGGAAAGGAGATTGTTCTTTGTATTGGAAAGGAGATTGTTCTTTGTATTGGAAAGGAGCTTGTTCTTTGTATTGGAAAGGAGCTTGTTCATTGTATTGGAAAGGAGATTGTTCTTTCTATAGAAAAGGAGATAGTTCTTTGTATTGAAAAGGAGATAGTTCTTTGTTTTGGAAAGGAGATTGTTCTTTGTATTGAAAAGGAGATAGTTCTTTGTATTGAGAAGCAAATTGTCCATTTATTGGGAATAGTTTGTATTTAGTATTTGAAATGAATAAAGAAAATGAAGTATTAGTTTGTTCCTTATAGTTTGGTATACTGGCAAACATAACACTCACATTCTCATACTAAACAAATGAAAATATAAATTCAACAGAAAGAACTGTTAGACATATGTAAAGTATGTTTGTTCAATAAATGTTAAGAAATATTTCAAATCACACTATTTTAGAGTTAAATTAGGGAAAAATTTGTTAAATGCAAGTGTGTTAATGTTAAATTTAGTTGTGCTGTACAAAATGATATAGCTTCTAGATTTTCTGATAGCTGAGAAAAGTTGAATCCCGATGATTAAGGAAAATATTAAAGAAAAGGAGAAAGAAAGAAATCAGAAATCCAGAATTCTCCCCTAGGCATTTTAATCAATTTCTATATTTGTTGAAATATAAGTTTTTTCATTTCAGGAATTTGAATTAAGAGGTTAAACCTTTCTTTAAAATTAGACATCCACAGCGTGAACTTATAATTTGAAGAATGTAGATCGAGAGCAAATATATTATGTGGGTTCTGATTGGTCGATTTTTTTCCAGAAAAACATACTTAAATCCTATAGACCATTCAAAATTTATGATTAGCGCATTTTGAAGAAAATTACATTTCAAAATTATACGGATTAGCACATTTTGAAGAAAATTACAATTCAAAATTTATAGATTAGCGCGTTATAAAAAAATTAGAAATTTAAAACTTTATTCAAAGTTGAAAATTAGCGCATTTTGCAGAAAATTGCAATTCAAGATTTACGGATTTAAGCATTTTGAAAAAAATTACAATTTAAAATTTACGGATCAGCCCGTTTAAAAAGAAATATATTTCAAAAGTTACGGATTAGGGTATTATGAAGAAAATTACAATTTAAAAGTTAATTCACTTATTTCGAGAAATGCAGTTATATCATCTTATAAAAAGATGAAAACTGGAGACATTATAAGAGCTACAAGTCGGACTAGTCAATAAAATGCATGTTATATTGTGTAATATGGGTCAGGAAGTGTATGTGTACTTTTGACTACATGAAGAGATTATGTTTTCTCAAGTCTCTATATAGTATTATTTTATATTTTCCTCCGTCAACATTTATATTTATATTTCTTCTCATTGATACACGGATTATAAAATAATTACAGAGTTACAGATATTCTCGATCGACAGATTACATAGAAATTATGGAGTTCCAGATTGACCTTTAGATATGTGGGAATTATAGAGTTACAGATATCATTGATCCACAGATTATAAAAGAATTACAGAGATACAGTTAAGATTGACCCTTAGATTATATAGGAATTAAAGAGTTACGGATATCATTGATCCACAGATTATATAGGAATTAAAGAGTTACGATATCATGGATCCACACTCCACAGGTTATATAAGAATTAAAGAGTTACGGATATCATTGATTCTAGATTATAAAATAATTTTACAATAAAAACCATTACCAAAATTCTAGGTATTAATCATAAGACACCCTGTTGTGTGGTTGTGATACCAGGACACCCTGTTGTGCGGTTGTGTTACCAGGACACCCTGTTATGTGTTTATGTTGCCAGGACACCCTGATGTGTGGTTGTGTTACTGCAGGAGACCCGTTGTGTGGTTATGTTACCAGGATACCCCATTGTGTGGCTATGTTACCGGGCCACCCTGTTGTTTGTGTGTGTTACCAGGCAACCCTGTTGTGAGATTGTATTACCAAGACACCCTGTTGTGTGGTTTTGTTACCTGGACACCCTGTTGAGTGGTTGTGTTACCAGGACACCCTGTTATGAGCTTGTTACCAGAACACCCTGTTATGAGTTTTTGTTACCATGAGTCATGACACCCTGTTATGAGCTTGTGTTACCAGGACATCCTGTTGTGTGGTTGTGTTACCAGGACACCCTGTTGAGTGGTTGTGTTACCAGGATACCCTGCTGTGTGGTTGTGTTACCAGGACACCCTGCATTGTGTGGTTGTGTTACCAGGACACCCTGTTGTGCACGTTTGTGCTACCAGGATACCCTGTTGAGTGGTTTTGTTACCAGGACACCCTGTTATGAGCTTATGTTTCCAGGACACCCTGTTATGATCTTATGTTACTTGGACACCCTGTATGTATTCTCACCCTATGAGAATAAAGTTCTTCTGTTCCATTTCCCTTGATAATGCTAAGATAATGTGAAGCTACATGAGCCGGCAGAAGGTTCTCAAGTAACACTCTGTTAATGCCCTGAACAAAATACAGTGTAAGGGACTCATCACACAATTATAAAGAAGGTTTAGATAATCATAAAATTGGACTTCAATTTAAATATAATTTTTTATTTATAATAATTTATAATAAAGCTTTTTAGAAACAATGACTTTTTGAGATATGAAGGTGATTGCATTTTTTTATTTGAAATTGATCCAGTGTCTCTTTCAATTAACTCCAATTGTCCATCATTAACTACAGCAAGAATAAGATTTAATTTGATAAAGGAAAAGGGATATCAATTAAATGTTTTAATCTATGCTAGATTAGTTACCCGGCGTTGCCCGTAAAATAAAAAAAATTTCGAATAAAGAAAAATATTTTTATAAAAATAATTGGAATTTTTTAGCCTATTTACCCCCGGGGTAACCATGGGTTTCCTCAACAAAAACTCATCCAGATTGGTCCAGTTGTTGAGTTAGCTATGGCTAACACATCTATATATAAAAAGTTGTAATCTCTGTTTATCTGTTTGTTTGTTTGTCAGATCATAACTAGGGAACTCCTGGACCAATATGCCTCAAATTTTGATTGGGAACCTCGGGAGGACCTCGGGAATCTTCTTATATTGGTTTTGATATTCTAAATTGAATGTATCGACTTTTATCGAGGAAAAATAGTTAGAATCGTAATTTATGACAAAGCGCGGGTAATCAGTGGGACTAACTATGACCCCCTGTGGGTTCCCAACAGGGGAATGATAGTTCTCTACCTGTGTGCTCAGTTAGTGTACTGTACACTTACAACTGTTTACTAATATTGATATACCATAGGTTAGACCAGAATCAACTTATAATAAAAATATGCAGTTCGCTCTCGGTCTAGTTTATGGATTAGTAAAGGATTAGCGCACATCATCACTCTATACACTATAACCTCGTTGGTTCCCTATCTAGTGTCTAATATTTTTGTTTTCCATTACAGTTCTTTAAAACCTTTTTGTACCAGGATTTGAAAAAAAAAACATTATGGATTTCTTTTAAAGAAAACTAATCCTAATCCTAATACTTGAAGGGGAAAGGAATCTCAAATTTGACATCCCTCTTTATTGTTGTTTTTTACTATAAAAATCTATTGTTTCTGATATTTTCATAACAATAAAGTCATGCCTCTTACACAAAACAGTAAATTTCTAAACACATTAAAACTAAATTTAAATTTGAGAACTGATTTCGTAAAGTTAGGCGGGGAAATAAATGTTTGAAGAAGGATATAAAGTTTATAAATAGGTTATAGACCTGCATAGTCTCCACTTCCTCTTCCTCACCCCTCAACGTCTCCCTCCACATCCACTCCATCCTTCACAACATCATCAACATCAACATCAACATCAACATCAACATCAACATCAACATCAACATCAACATCAACATCAACATCAACATCAACATCAACATCAACAACAACATCAACGTCAAAATCAACATCATCAACTTCATTGGGTCTTTAAGTCAGGTTTAAGGAATTATATGGCTCGAGCTCTGTATGCGTAGTTTTAAGTTACCCTCCATGCAAAGATGGCTATGCAAATATGGTAGAAACCGTCGTTTTTCTGACTTGAAAAGTGTTTGCGTTTCTCCTTTGCTTCTTATAAACAAGGAATGCGCAAGTCTCTTTTGAAACCGCAAAACAAAAAATTCAGTTTAAAGAAACAAAAACATTTCAATTCAATGCATCAGAAAAAAGCTTTCAATGTTAGCTTTGCATAGATCACGTGCACTTGAAATTGATAAAGTAGCAACAATGATTTGCAGTTTATTTTGATTCTGTTCCTAGAAGTAAGATCTTGGTCTCTATCTAGTGTTATAAGAACCAGGAGGGGGATCCATAGTAATACCTAAACAGAAAAAAAGACATATATTTCGATAAAAATATTATCATTATCAGTAAGTGTTGGTGCAGATGCCTAAATTAAAACTAGAAATTATGGAAATAATTACATTTTAGTACAAATATTCAAAATTACACATTTTCCGTTGAAATATTTGCACCACTCAGCTTGTTATTTATACAAATTTTCGTGCAAATTTCACTTTTCGTACGGAATTCCACGCAAATTCTGATATGCATGATAAAATATGCTATGTTAAACGAATTTTACGCAATCATACGCAAATCAAAATGGAGACTATAATACACTAATTACGCAAATATAACCAGCCAATGATTTGGCAATAGTTATTTGCACAGAATTGCGCATATTTCGCGCCGGGTTTTGTAAAATTTATTTTAGCTCCTAATACATTGTAAATCTCTGCGAAAATTTATGATAATCTTTACTGTTGGTGGAAATCTTACTTTTAAACCATTCAACCTGCAAAAGCACGATGTATTTGAAATTTTAAAAAAAAAGTAAAAGTAAAAAATTATTTATTTGTGAAATATAACAAAAACATACAAAATAAAGTGTTTCAGGAGAAAATATTTAAAAACCTCTAAAAGTAGAGGTTGTGGGAATATTTCCCCCCAATTGTAAAAAAATATAAAAATAGAAATAAAAGGAAAAGGAAAGGATAAGGAAAGTTACATATTTATTGTTTACACTATATTTAAATTAGTGGTGGATTGTTAGTATTTTTCGACGATGAACTAACAACTTTTAGAAATAAAAATTATAGATTTATTTATAATGTTAAAAAAAAAGTAAAAAAAAAGCTTTATGGAGTGTGAAAAATATGTAGGTTCTATGAAAAACGGGCATTTTTAAGCATCTTTTTAATCCGCGCTGATTTTTAATCAAATAGAAGGAGACAAAATTGTGCATAGTTATATTTTCTCTCCACTTTAACTTTGCACATCTGTGCAATGCAATGCATAGCAAATCTTATTTAAGAGTTTTCTGGCAAAACTCTAAAAAGAAGTTTATCTATTTATGAGGATGTAAGTTTCTTTTTTGATTAAATACTAAATTGATTATTTAGATATATATTTTGATTATATATAATTGATTTTATAGCCAGTTCATTAATTAGACATAAATTAAACATTTTAAGAAAATGTTTTCAAACTTTTCTAAGCTTCCTTGTATTCTGATGAATTAAGAATACTTTGCATACTTTGTATAATTTGCATAATTTTCATAATTTGCATATTCTGAACTCTGATCCTATCTGCATTAGCTGCAGTTTTGCACTATATAAACAGTATATAGTTTTGTTGCCGGATAGGAACAAGATTCTGACGATGAACAGAGAGACAACGGAATAACCCTCAAATCAAAATCTATAATGCAGAAAACTCTTTATTTCCTAAAAAAAATAAATGTATAATGATTTATAATTATTACAATGGTTTACGAATTTTATAATGAAAAGATTCTTACGATCTAATTAGGGATGAGAAGGTTAAACTGTCGGAGAGTCCTAAGACGTTTTTATATACATTAAAACTTCTGAAAAGAATGACAATTAATTGTTAACGAAAGTCACTAATTCTTTATATGAAATATTCTTTGCTTAACTTTTGAAATGGGTTCACAATTAATAAACGTGTTTAGACTCCACAATTCTCTCATCTTGATATTATTAGTGTTAGCCAATTCTCTCATCTTGATATTATTAGTGTTAGCCAATTCTCTCATCTTGATATTATTAGTGTCAGCCAATCCTCTCATCTTGATATTATCAGTGTTAGCCAATTCTTTCAGCTTGATATTATTAGTGTCAGCCAATCCTCTCATCTTGATATTATCAGTGTTAGTCAATGCTATCATCTTAATATTAGCCAATTCTCCCATTTTGATAATATTAGTGAGAGTCAATTTTATTAGTTTGATATTATTAGTGTTAGACTATCCTATCAACTTGATATTATTAGTGTGTGCCAATTCTCTCATCTTGATATTATTAGTGTGTGCGAATTCTCTCATCTTGATAACATAAGTGTGTGTGCCAATTATCTCATCTTGATATTATTAGTGTGTGTCAATATTCTCAGCTTGATCAAAAAATTCTCAAGCCACTGTTTGATAATCTGAGGCCGAATTTAAAGAATTTAAGTCGCGGCTTGAATCACCCAAAACCCGGTTTAAATTGAACACCGGCTTAATACAATTTTAAGTGAAACCAAGCCGCGGCTAAAATTTAAACCGCGGCTCAAATTCTTTAAAGGAATTGAGTCTTTGCAACAAACCCTGATTTTCTAATCACAATATCTTTGGAACCAAATGTTGTAGACCTTAGATATTTCAAACTATGAATTCTGTTAAATCAAATAATCAGAGTTTGAAATATCAAAGGTTTACAATAACGGGTTCTAAAGATATTGGGGTTTAAATAATTGATTTTGTTACAAAGACTCAATTCCTTTGACCTCTGTCCTCTTTCAATTTCTTTTTGGTAGAACATTTTTTCCCACAAAACAGACAAGTTTCTTCATTTTGATATTTAGTTTGTTTTTCTCCTTGGTCTCGTTATTCTTGGTTTACCCCGGTTTGCAACAAGTCCCCAGGGAACTCCCAAATGTTCTCGACAAACAATTTATTCTATTTTCAATTATTTTTTATTTTTCAAACAAACAGCAATTGGTGAAGTTTACTTGAGGTGCATGTTAAGCAGCTCCCCCCCCCCCTTCTTCTGTGAGATGATTCATCTGAAATATAGAAAACAACAATCCAAAGAAATTTAACAATTACAAGAGGTGAGTCAATATTTTCTTTTTTAATTGTTCTGAAAAGTCAAGATATTTTATTATATTTTGTTTTATGATTAAAGAGAATTATCATTTTTGATTGATCTTAGTTTGTTAGCTTGTTTTCTGGATACAAGAGTAAACTCAAGTTTAAGCAAATATCATCAAATTTGTGGCAATATTGTGAACCCAACCAAGGGTTCATCCCCTATGTTCATACTCTCATATTCATAGTTCATGGCTTCCAGTGGAAGAAATGATGCACATAAGAAATGCAATCTAAGAATAAAGCCAAACAATCTAGATATAGTCCCAAGGGGTATTGAACTCTGGATATGTTTGCAGTTTTAAATACATAACAGTATGGGATATAGACACCACCCGCCGATGCTGGAGAAAGGAGAAACAGTGTAGAGGGAAGGGGATTCTTATCTATAGAACGGCATTTATCTTGCCTACAGAGAAAGCAGATCGTTTGCGATCTTAGATCTGGAGTTCCATGGGGGAGTCAGTAAGCATGAAGCATCTGATCAAAAGATTTGTATGTAAATATATTTACCCCTGGCGAATATCATTTATATATAGATCAACTCTAGTTGGTCCAACAATAATCGTTTATATAGTTAAAATGTAAATATATTGTGTGTGCAACCATGCTTTGTTGATCAATCTTGGCTTCATAATACTGAATACTTTTCAATTCTACTTGGTGACAGGCGAGCATTTCGGTCGTATTGTAAAACATTTCAGACATATATCGCGCATTTTGGCCAGACATAACACATTTCGGACATATATCACGCATTTTGGCCAGACATAACACATTTCGGACATATGTCACGCATTTTGGCCAGACATAACACATTTCAGACATATATAACGCATTTTGGCCAGACATAACACATTTCGGACATATGTCACGCATTTTAGAGAAGTTTGAAAAGAACGTTCATCATATCTTTGCAAAAAAAGGCAATCAGAGCGGTTAATAATAGTACTTTCAAGGCACATTCAAATCTATTATTTTCAAAACTGAAAGTTCTTAATCTTGATGATACATACAAACTTTGTGTTCTGACATTTATGCATGGATACTATATGTTTAAGCCTTTAGATGAACCGAATAGAACAAAATCATATAAATTAGAACGGGGTTTAAACAAAAATTTAGAAAGCTTTCCGTCCTCAATGTTTCCTAAATTGTGGAATGAAATTGAAATTGACCTTATAGAAACTAAATCTGCAAAAATATTCAAACAAAGAGTAATCAATATTTATCTTGAGAATTATGAGAGGTTTAAATGCGAAAAATCTAGCTGTATATCGTGTGTATAATTTTTATATAAAACAACTAAAATAACTGAAACTTTATAAGTTCTGTTTATGTAGCTACCATCATCAACACCCTGTATTTTAATTTACCCCTACATAAAAATCCCTCTGATCTCACCCTGCCACAGATCACCTGACAATCTCCTTCCTTCCAAAACGAGTGATTTTCTTTCAAGAAAATGATATTTTTTTTCTTAAAAGCGAACCAAACGTTTATAGAAAAAAAAACAGACGTATTTTAGATCGTTTTTAAAACGCTTAACAACCCTGCGGCTGTTTAATCTCCTGATGAAAAACATATAGTTTACCAAATTATATAAGTTTGTTGATGTTTGAAGGAAGGAACTGGTTATAATGAGGCAGCTGCAGAGCATTAGTATCACCTAAGCAAAATAATGAAAAAAATTTTCAAATTTATTAATATAAAAATTGAATAATAAATAAAAAAATAACCTTCCAAAAAAATTAGGTTTTTCCTCAAAAATGTTGAAATTTAACAAACGAATTTTACCTTTCGACATTTCGACACCTTGTCTTTAAACTTCTTTTAAATGATGGAGAAAAAATGATATGTCATGAAATGAAAAATCGACTAATGTGATTTATTGTTAGTAGTGCCATTGAATTAGGCGTTAATCAAAATTCCAAATGGACAATTTCTGAAATATTGCTAATGTGATTTTAAGTGATGATTTTTGTTGTTGCATAAATTCAATAAAAAATGAGAGATTAAAGTTTGCAGCAGCCAACACTCAGGACACTAATTTCGCCACATAATAATAATACATGGTAAATAACACTCAGGACACTAATTACTCCACTGGAGGGATGGTAATTAGCACTTAAAACACTGATTACTTCTTCAGGTGAAGTAATTAGTGTCCTGAGTGTCAATGATCATTTGTCCAATTGAGTAATTAGTGTCCTGAGTGTTCATAATAATACCTCCAAAAGAGTAATTAGTGTCCTGAGTGTTAATTATCATCCCTCCGATGGAGTAATTATTGTCTGGAGTGTTATTTTACATCCCTCCTATGGAGTAATTAGTGCCCTGAGTGTAAATTACCATTTTTCCAGTGAAGTTATAAGTGTGCTGAGTGTAAATTACCTTCCCTCCAATGCCCTCCACTCCAGCGGAGGGGACCGAAAATGCTACTGCAAACTATAATCTCTCATAAAAAATCCACTTCAGATATTTTCTTAAATAAAAAATATTTTTGTTTATTTGAAAAAAAAAGTTTTTAATATTGAACAATGGACAATTTGTAGAAGAAACTCACAATTTCATTCCTTTTTTGAAAGAGAAGATCAAATTTTATTACCAAGAATATACAACCTTGAAATATTTGAAAAGAATATCCAACCTTGAAATATTCGAAAAAGATATCCAACCTTGAAATATTTGTAAAGGATATCCAACCTTGAAATATTTGTAAAAGATATCCAACCTTGAAATATTTGAAAAGAATATCCAACATTGAAATATTTGTAAAAAATATCTAAAATTGAAATTTTTGCAAAGAATATCCAACCTTGAAATATTTGAAAAGCATATCCAACCTTGAAATATTTGTAAAGGATATCCAACCTTGAAATATTTGTAAAAAATATCAAACCTTGAGATATTTGCAAAGGATATCCAACCTAGAAAAATTTGTAAAGGGTATCCAACCAACCTTCAAATATCTGTAAAGGATATCCAACCTTAAAATAACTATAAAGGATATCCAACCTTGAAATAACTATAAAGGATAGCCAACCTTGAAATAACTATAAAGGATCTCAAACCTTGAAATATTTGTAAAGAATATCAAACCTTGAAATGATGATATATGCGAAGATACTGGCAGACTGTTGTGTAGAATACAAATTGTAAAATTATCACCAACTTAAATAAATAAAATATTATTTTTTACTTAAATTATTTCTTCAAATAATAATAAAATTGGTGTAATCATTTCCATTTATATGGATGGAGTGGAAAGGGGGGGGGGACTCCCCTTCAAGCAGTCAAGATATGATATTTTAAACAAAATACTCTGAATACTCTGAATACTCTGAATGTCTTCACTTTCAGGCCCAACATCTTCAGGAAAATAATCCTATATTTCTACGCTAGTATGCTAGAAGAGGCAATACGTTCAAAAGTGTGTCTCTCTGTTTGGATATACTAGTAACCCTGCCTGGACCGATTTACCTCAAATTTTGATCGGGGAACTCGTTAGAACAGTACGGGAGTGTTCTTGTCTAGCTTTACAAATTTAAAGTTGTGAAGCCGGAGGGATGTATACTTTCCAGAAGTACCCCTTCCAGGGGCGTAAATAGGGGAGGGGGGGTTAATGGGGTTAAATACCCCCTAGAATCTTGGGACAAAGATAATTTTACTCAATCAACTTTAACAAAGTTGCATAGATAAATTTTACCAAAAAATCGATTTTTTAATGCAGTAACGTACTTGCACAATATGTCAAATAAAATTTATAGCTCTTCCAGGGGGGAGGGGGACCAAAATTCAATGTGTAAAGATCAAGATTATTAATAAATTAAATTTTAAAATCTAAGAAATTTTTTGACTTTTGACTTAGGACAAATTTTATGAGAAACACTAGCTCCAAGGCAGTCTCTGTGCATGTATGACAATATTTTTTCCAGTAATGCGCTTAACTTTCAGGGGAAAATATGATTTATAATTGGCATGGTAGTTTTGATGTAGAACTTACCAAAAATCCAAACCTCTTTCATGTCCTAAATTGCTACTTGCTATTTGCTATTTTATAAACTGATCAAAAGTCTCAATTTATTGTCTAGTGGATGAAGTGGACAACCTTTAGGGTATAAATTAAGAAAGGTGAAAGCTGAAAGGTGGTAAAGGAAGCCTTTTATTTGATAGAGCTGAAGTTAATCCCAGAAATGATTGGAAAATCAAACCCAACTAAAATCGAAAATTTGATATACATCGCGCATGAATTCATGAATGGGGTAGTACCTGGTCTAAGGGGATGGGGGTAAACTAAATTCAGGGGGTTTACAAAAAACGTCGCTCTTCGCGCGCAATACGATTAAATTAAGTACAGTATCCTCTCGTAATTGTACATCAAGTACAGTTTCTTCTCCAGTTTTTACAGCAGTGCGTACCGTCTTGTTGTTTACACCATGTTTTAAATCTTCTTGTACTGCTTGCATTGTATCATTAGTATAGGCATCGGGAGTAAAATTACGCGTCACATCCTGAATATATTCTCTATTCATTCTACATATTTTCACTATTCATCCTGCATATATTCACCAATTATCCTACATACAGTCATTATTAAATCCTACATAAATTCTCTATTCAACCTAAATTTGTTCACTATTCATCTTACATATATTCACTATTCATCCTGTATATATTCACCATTCATCCTACATATATTCACAATTAAATTCTACATAAATTCACTATTCAACCTAAATTTATTCACTATTCATCTTACATATATTCACTATTCATCCTGCATATATTCACCATTCATCCTACATATATTCACTATTAAATCCTACATATATTCATTATTCATCCTAAATTTATTCACTATTCATCTTACATATATTCACTATTCATTCTACATATTTTCACTATTCATCCTACATATATTCATTTCTTATCTTACATATATTCACTAATCATTCTAAATATTTTCACCATCTATCCTGCATATATTCACTATTTATTCTGCATATATTTACTATTCATCATGATATATATTCCCTATTCATCCTAAATTATTTAATATTCATACTACATATATCAACTATTCACTCTAAATTTATTCACTATTCATTCTAAATATACTCATTATTGATCTGCATCCTTTTACTATTCATCCTACATATATTCACTGTTCATGCTTAATATATTCACTATTCATCCTACATATATTCATTATTCATTCTGCATATATACACTATTTTTTCAACATATATTCACTATTCATTCTACAAATATCCATTATTCATCCTACATATATTCATTATTCATTCTAGATATATTCACTATTCATTCTAAATATATTCACTATTCATCCTGCATATATTCACTTCTAAATATATTCATTATTCATTCTAAATATATTCACTATTTATTCTAAATAAATTCAATATTCATTCTAAATGTATTCCCTATTCATTCTAAATATATTCACTATTTATTCTAAATATATTCACTATTCATTCTAAATATATTCACTATTTATTCTAAATAAATTCACTATTCATTCTAAATATATTCACTATTTATTCTANGATTTTCCCGGGAAATTCAAATTTAAAATTGAGAAAGTTTAATATTTAAGTAGCTATTCATTATTTTACAGAACTTTTAACCTCGAACTTAAAATTTGCGCATTCTTTAGTTTTAGACTCTGATGGTTTAAACGTTGATATTTCTTAACTTAGATTATTTGATTTAATAGAATTCATAGTTTTCAATATGAAAGGTCGACGAAATTGGTTGCAGATATAGGAATTAAGAAACCTTTCCTTGGGTCTTATGAGGACCCCTACAAATGATTTTTACAGCTTTTTTTGTAATAAATTTGATCAAACCAATACACTTAGTGGGGGGAAAAGGTTTCCAAAGTTGAGACTCACAGGACCAGGACCTAAAGTTTAACCCCTAATCTGAATGGCTAAAAAAACAGGATTCCAACTTTAATCAGGACAAATATGAAATACTTGAATTACAAGTTTTAAAAGATATGTTTCAGATCCTTATTAGTAAACTTCAAGCAAAAATAATATCAGAAACAAGCTAATTACTCGCCGCAAACTGTAATCATCTTCTAAACCCTGATGTCGTAGATATTTCAAACCATGACTTATTTGAGATCATTCTGTTATATCAAACAATCTAAGCTTAAATCCCCGTACACTATCCTATAGCATTTTGCACGAATATAATTTCAGCAAATAGGACGTAATCTAAAGATTGAGAATATTCTAGAGCATTTGACGGAATGATTTATGGAAAAAATCTTAAACTTTGGGTTTAAAATAACTTATTCAAAGATGTCCCGATTTTTAAAGAAAATCAAGACAAATAAAAAAGTAAAAATAAAAAATTATTTTGAATTAATTATGTAGGATGTAAACAAATGTTATAGCTACCAAAAAATACGTAAAATAGGTTAAATACCTTAAAAAGTATGCAATACAAAAATTTGCAAAGTCAAACTGTTCAGTAAAATATTTGATAAGTGTTTTTGAAAACTTGGGAATTTTGGTAAATATGAATTTCAGTTTGAACGCGATTTAGATTAATAAAAATCAATTAAAGTTATTTACAACTGTCAAAAAATAAAAAATATATTAGAATACTACTTACAGGGTTGTCCTAACAGCTGATCTTTCTGCCAGAACAAGCAACCTGCCCACCAGTCCAAATATTATTCAAATATTTTATATAAGGATTTCATTCACCTTGAGAATTCTAAAATTTATGATTAAAATTCTTTGAATATTTATAATAAAATAATGTCCTATTAAAGGCACATCATTTCTGATTTATTGCTTTAAAATATTTTTATTACTATCATATAGAGCACATTCCGGGAAAAAAACTGTCACTCCAGATCTTCATCATTCAAAAATAATTATTTTTGGAAACCCGGGTTTAAGAAGAATATTCAGTACACTAAATACTATAGTTTTTTTTAAATATTACTTTTAACTTTTTCCATTATGCAAATTGAAAATGGAGAACTTAAAATGTTAAAAAAAAGTTTTGAAACTTTGACAAATTAGAGTTTATTTCGTTGAGAAACGGTTTGTGCAATTCTGGAAATTGAAATAAAAATTGGATTTTGAACTCAGATATTCAGAAATCTTATATTTCTGATTGAAAATGCAAAACCCGAAATAGATCCAGTCAAACATATAGTGTGGGTCAAGTAGTGGAGGGCAATGCTTTTATGTTTCGTTAAAAACGAGAGAGTAAATTAGAAATTGAGTCTTTAACACAAACCCAAATTCTCTAATCCCTATATCCTTGCAACTTGATGATGTTAACGTTTGATATTTCAAACTTAGATTATTGGTTAATATAACAGATTTCAGAGTTTGAAATATCCAAGGGTGTAATAAAAGGAAAGTTTATTGCGGTCGTGTATACTCTGCGTACATATTGAAACCAGTTCTCTTCGGGCGGAATTTGTAAACAAGAATAGATGCATCAGTGTTCAGTATCCAAGGAGGTTAAAAGCATTAAATTTGATAATTTTGATAATTCACATAATAGTTTTCTATGACCAAAATATTTCATTGATTTTTGTATGTGAAAGATGGATCCCATGTCAGGCTGTAACATCCGTCTTGTGTTTACATTACCGTCCAGAGACAGTACACTGCAGTACAAAAGATGCGTACACTTTTGAAATAACTTTCTTTGCATTACATCTTTGGAAATTATTCAGGTCTACGATGTTGGGTTACAAAGAATTAAAAATAAATTTAAAAATCTGAGTTTGTGGCAGACTCAATTACTTTGAACATTAAAAAGTTTTCGACTTTCCTGTAGTACACATCAGGATTAGAACACAGAATATTAGCAAACAGTAAACAACAGGAGAACTGAAAATAATGAGATATTATGGCAAATATGTGGCTTTTTAAAGGGACTGCACCGCGTAATTTCAAACGACCCTTATATAAGTTTACCATGGGTTGACGTTACAAGAAAAATTTAGTTTCCGTTTAAAGCTGGGTTTCCAAGCTACGTAAATAAGTTTATTTGAATAAAATAGCCAATTCTATCAAAGGATTTGAGTCTTTGTCACAAACTCAAAATTTTCTAATCCTTATATCTTAGTAACTTCATGGTGCAAACCTTTAATATTTCAATAATAGATTATTTGACCTACCAGAATTCATAGTTTGAAATATCTAAGGTCTACGGCATTGGGTTGCAAAGATATAGGAATTAGAAAATTTGAGTTTGTGGCAAAGGCTCAAATCCTTTATTTAAAATATAGTTCGAAAGATCGAACATCTACACTATCGAAAACTCCAGCAGAAATATATAGGGATAAAAAGAATGAATGTCGAGAGAGAGAGAAGACGAATCTTTAAATGTCTGACTCAATGGTTCTCAACATTAGATTTGAAATTGAATATTTGAAAGAAAACATAAAAAATGTTTATATTACTTCTCTACATATTGTTGTTTAAAACAGGCTTTTAAACTTTAACCAAAACTTATGTTCATTTTTTTCTATTCTATTCTATTCTATTCTATTCTCTTCTCTTCTCTTCTCTTCTCTTCTCTTCTCTTCTATTCTCTTCTATTCTATTCTATTCTATTATATTCTATTCTTAAGTATAAGATTCTAAAGATTAATGATCTGGTAGATTTTAACCAAGCTATATTTATGTATAAATATACACATGTGACATAAACTTCTTCCTGCATCTTTTGAAAACATTTTCAAAAAGCTTGGAAACTTTGAAAGATCTCTTAACTATCAACTTGACATTCTAAAAATGNTATTCTATTCTATTCTATTCTATTCTATTCTATTCTATTCTATTCTATTCTATTCTATTCTATTCTATTCTATTCTATTCTATTCTATTCTATTCTATTCTATTCTATTCTATTCTATTCTATTCTATTCTATTCTATTCTATTCTATTCTATTCTATTCTATTCTATTCTATTCTATTCTATTCTATTCTATTCTATTCTATTCTATTCTATTCTATTCTATTCTATTTCTATTCTATTCTATTCTATTCTATTTATTCTATTCTATTCTATTCTATTCTATTATAATCTATTCTATTCTATTCTATTCTATTCTATCCATTCTATTCTATTCTAATCTATTCTATTCTATGCTATTCTATTCTAATCTATTCTATTCTATTCTATTTATTCTATTCTATTCTATTTTATTCTATTCTATTCTATTCTATTCTATTCTATTCTATTCTATTCTATTCAAATCTATTCTATTCTATTCTATTATAATCTATTCTGTTCTATTTGTGTAAATCTATAGAATCTAGTATAAAACATGTATAAACCTGTAGTTAGATAAACCTATCAGAGTTATCTGTATGACCACAAGTACCAAGGAAGCTAGAATTTGAAGCATAAAACAGTCATCAACCTGAAGAAAAAAAAACTTATCTTTTATTGATTTAAACAGTTATAGGACAGCTAGTTGCTTACCGCCCTCAGCAAAGAACGGACCTCTCTTATTAGAACCCCCTGTTTACAGTTTAGGGGAGCCCTGCGTTTAGTTGCACATGTTGTATCCTACAGGGGAGTAGCAAATGTACATTGAATAAAACAAGAGACTATCTTCAGCCTGGTGCAGCTGAAATAAAAAGTTTAACCTCTGATGGGTATACAAGCCTTGTACAACAATACTGGTTTTTTATTTGACCAGCTATGACTGCTGTGGAAGATTACTCTCAAATGGCCTTTAAGGCTTACAACTCCCCATTTTGCATAAGGGGTGCATCTCTTCTTATCTTTCTCCTACCTGCTCCACAGCTCGATGTCAAAAGAACTATTTCGAGAGGCCTCAAAGTGCAGAAACAAGAAACAAGAAGCAATAAGAAAAAAGAAAATTGAACCGGAAAAATTGGAAGGGAAATTCCTTGATATTAGAGATCAGGCCGGTAGGGGAGGGGGGTGAGACAATCACTCTCCCCCCCCCTACCCCAAAAAATTATTAGGAATTGGTGTTTCGCTTAGTCAGATGCAACTCTTGAGTAAACAATTCAATATTGAGTTCCAAAGTAAGAAAACTAGATCCTCTCAGCTATTTCAATTAAATACAGAAAACTAGATCCTCTCAGCTAGTTCAATTAAATACAGAAAACTAGATCCTCTCAGCTAGTTCAATTAAATACAGAAAACTAGATCCTCTCAGCTAGTTAAATTAAATACAGAAAACTAGATCCTCTCAGCTAGTTCAATTAAATACAGAAAATTAAATACAGAAAACTAGATCCTCTCAGCTAGTTCAATTAAATACAGAACACTAGATCCTCTCAGCTAGTTCAATTAAATACAGAAAAAAGCAAGATTCTCAAAAAATAGTTCTTTCTTTTAATTTCTTTTTTTTTCTTCAAAATTAGCCAAAATATGATAGAAAGATGTATGAACTGGAAGAAATTGAAGAACAAGAAATATAGAAATCTCAAAATATTTTCATCTAATATCATATAAATATTTAAAAATATTGTAAAACTTAATTTAAATAAATTATTGAAAGTTAAAAACAGTTTAAGAAATTAATAATTATTACCTAACCTTATAGACTTTATTGATGAGTATCGTTTTTAAACATTTTAGGTTTCTTTTTTAATTTCAAAAGGTTTAACAAGAGTCTGAAAGCTTTAATTAATTTTCATGACAATTTACAAATTGAATAAACCAATCTTTTTTTTGCATGTTTGGTCAGAGTAAAAATTTAACTTTATTGCAAGTTTTAAGGTAAACATATTGATTATACAATTTTAAAATAGGATAAACTTCTCAGATTAAATCTACCCTCTTAAAAGTACAAAAAAACTTAAAGTTTAGAAATGAACTGTAAACCTATAGCCATCAGTAATTCCACAGTTATATAATTGTAAACCAAAGTTAGTTTAATTATGTTTAATTGCTTTGAAAGTTTTATTACTCTTTTGTTATGATAAAAATAAGTTATTTATAATTACCTGATTTTGATAACAGGTCTCAATTCTAAATGAAGAAAATAACATAGCTAAGGGTTTAACACCACTCTCAGATCTGTAAAAGTAAGATTTTAAAGATATTTTTCTATTGTATATTGTTCTAAGAATTCGTATTAAATTAACCATTGTCACATATAAAATTCCCTATGTAATATTGAAAATGTTTTCGTCTCTTTTAAAAAAAATTGTGTTTTACGTAATCATATTAATAAATTTTCCTAAAGAAATTATTAAATAAGAAATATTCCGTAAGTGAAGTGGAACCTTATTCCTCATTTGTAAAAGTGATGTTCCAAATGTTCCAAATGGTCAATAATGGTTGATATAAATAGATAGGCGCAAATTGATGCTTAATGTCTACAGTACATACCTTGTACAGGAGAACTGGTTAGAGCTGGACAACGTCGGTTCCAATAAAGATATTGTCTAAAAAAATATCATTAGAGATGGTTTTTCATGAGGTCCAATAAATTACGTAAACGAATTATGTAAAACTTATTTAATCAATTAATTTAAATAGAACTTTTAATTTCCCGAAAAAGTCGCTGTACACAATTTTGCCACCTTTAGAGATTAATTTGCGCATTCCTTTACAAAAACTTGATAGAGCGGGATGTTATTTTATTTACTTGTCTGATGGGACAGTAAAATCCCACTGTTGGGGAATCATGGGTCGGTAATGTTGATCAAAAGGCGGTAAAATCAATGATTCATAGAATATTTGCCTTTGAAAAATGTAATGGTTTTAATTCTTTCTGCAGTTTAGAACCACCGTAATTTGTGCAAACTCTTACCGCTGATGTAATAGTGTGCGCCAACTTAAGTTCTGCAATATTTGCAAATGGAGTATCTGATACTGATCCCCAGCATTCTGCATACTAAACATAGAATAGAAGAGAAAAGGAAAATAAGACTATCCCTCGGTATGAATTTGAGTTCAAAGTGTACAATTCATCTGAATGTTCACAAACTATACGCAGTATATCATAATAAGAAGTATCATCCCTGAACATATATGTTACATTCTCTTCTTCTAATAAAGTTTAGGCTGAAATGAACTCGGGAATGCATGACAGGTTGTCAGAGATTGATTTAAAGATTATTTAATAATTTTCAAGAAATGTTTTTTCTATAAAAAGATGTTCCAGAGCCCTAAAAGTTATCACATATGTGTGAAGTACACCTGCAGTATGGCAACAGTAAAACAAAATGGCGGTTATACACTTTTTCTACTTAATTCCGCTCTATACTTATCGATTCTCTTTGATCCTAAGTATACTAACTAAACACATAGAGTTAAAGGAACTTTTAACATAATGTTAAGTGACCCTCCATGTAAAGATAGAAGTTCCCGATTTACAATGCTACCCTGAACACCTTTATCTGACCAAAAATGTAAAAAATCACGTCATTTTGCTGACGCATAAAGTGAATTTCTCCGTTGCTTTTTAAAATTAAGAAATGCGCAAGTCAATTTTGAAGAGAACACGCAAATAAAAATTAACAGTTTAAATTAACAAAAACATCGATATATAATTCATACTTGATCAGAAGAAGCTTTTAAGGTGATACAGTTGTAATCGGGCATCTTTACTTGGAGGGTCACTTGAAATTACGCTTACAGTTCCTTGAAAAAGTTAAACTTTGTATCATAATCCCTTCAGATCTAAACAGTACACATTGAATTATAATTATAATTATAAGGTTTGGTTACAAGCCCTCACTCAATTACTTCTTAAAAACTGAAGCTAAAAAGAAGTGCTCACAATTTCAATATGTACACATGTTTAGAGCTGCAAAAAAAGGTAAAATTAAGTGCCAAGGTGTTTAGAAAGCTGATACAACTTTGCATAGCAGTCTGGATAAACGTTATTCATCAAAATATAAAGATTTTGAGATGTGTCCCAGATATTCTGCTGGGGTAGTTCATTCGAATCTATGCAAGAAAGTCCTAATTTTGGTAAGTCATAGGACAAAATATCATTGGAAATAAAGTCCTAAGTTTTAGATTCCTGGGACTTTTTTCCTAAAATAATATGGGGGCTGCCAATAAAGTCTCAGGAAATAAGATCACAGGAATTAAAGTAATGAGGAAAATAAATCCGAAGAAAAAAACCAAGAAAAAAAGTTCTAAGTCTTGTAAAAATGAGGTCAAGTCTGAGACGTTTTCATAAAAAAGGACTTTTCTCCTATATGCATCTGCATATTCAATATAGCCAGGGGTGTTTTATTATCAAGCCTCTTTTTTCCCATGGTTGTAAAGTTGTAAACATCCTTTATTCCCATCCATTTTTCAATATAAAAGGACTTTTTTCCGGGGACTTTTTTATATAAAATCATGCTGATACTGGAACTAGAAAAAAGTCCAATAATAAAGTCTCAAAATGGTAGGACTTTATTTCCAGGGACTTTTTATTTCAAGGACTTTTTTCCCACAGGACTTTTTAGTGCCAAAATGTATTTCCGAAAACTTTTTTTCAAAGAAAGCGGTTTCAAGTTTGTTCATCTTAGATAGTCAGGGGTGCATGAGAATTAAAAGTTGTACTTTTACACCTACTTTTAAAGATGATTCTGCTAATTTTGGATAAAGGTAGATTTTTTTCATTTTGTTGAGTTCGAGATTTTTTTTATAAAATGTTCAGTACGTTAAGTACAGTACAGTATGTATAGCACAGTATACTAAGTACAGTAATGTAAGTATGATACAGAACGTCCAGAGCCCGAAATTTAAAAGAGTATCGCTGAATGAAACTCCCGAGTTTCCATTTCGGGGTCTTAACATTTAAGTA